AATATTTTATTTACATTTTAGTTTTCAGCGGACACAACATCTTTGTTKGTATGTGGTGCTGAGGATCGAACCTGGGCCGCACCCATGCCAGGGGAGCACGCTACCGCGCTACTGCTTGAGCCACATCCCCAGCCCTGTAGCCTTGAATTTTTGATCCTCCTGCCTCAACCTTTTGAGTAGCTGGGATTATAGTACAGCACCCAGCTGAAAGTCCTCATCTTTAGGAATTTCATCCAGAGATTGCTCTCCTCTACCAGAGTGCCCCCAGCTTTACCTATATTCTGTGGCTCAATATGGTCCCTGATGGTGGACTGGAGGGAGGGCCCTCTGTTCTGTGAGGTCTCAAGAGATCTCTGGCTAAGTGGAAGGTGAAACAGAACAAGGAAAGCAATTTCTTTACCTCCCTCCCAAGAGCATTCTCCCATAGCAGTACTTTTCCCATAATGTTTAAGGCAATATATGTTGGCAAGATATGTATAAAGATATTTGTGCTAGAAGATACTAGGACAGTGATTTCTAGCCTGAAAGATGGGGTGGTGGATTATACTCTGAGATGACCTGAGAAGAACCTATGAAACTTTTGTTCAGAAAAAATGAAACACACACACACACACACACACACACACACACAGAGTAATATAAAATTAGTTTCAGGGCATGCACATCCCAAGTTCAGAACCTCTGTATTTTAGAGGACTTTAGAGGGTACAATATAAAAGTGAAAGTGGGATACTAAGAAAAGGACAAAAGGAAGTTGGAGAGTTACTTTTTTTTTATGGTTCTGACCCACTGACCCATGGGAAGGACCTAAGCGTCCTCAAGCCCCACCATCAGACCCTACTGTCTAGTTCACCCCCTCATGACAGCTTCAGTATGGGAGATACAAAAGGGACATTGGACCCAACTGAACCCTGTTTACTCATCCAACTCCCCTAGTTGTCTCCCTGAGTTACCCTCTGAATTCTACCCTTTAAGACTCTGAGACTGGAGGGGAGTGAAAGGAGGGGAGGAGGCATGGGGAGAGAAAGGATAATAGAATGAATATGACATTATTAGCCTGTTTACATATATGATTGCATGACCAGTGTGATTTTACACCATATACAACCAGAAGCATGAGAAGTATACTCCATGTTATGTATGATGTGACAAAATGCATTCTACTGTAATGGATAACTAATTAGAACAACAACAAAAAAGACTGAGACTCTGCTTTTCCACACCCTGAGGAAGCAGCTCCTGAATATATATTTCCATCCCATCCCCACTTACAGGATGGACAGATCACCACAGATGTCCCCAGGTAACGCAACACAGAGAACCAAATCCAGCCCTCTGTCATTCATTCTCTATACCTGACTGAGGACAGACTGCTTCTCTGATGGCTCCTAAGGCACTTTATTGTCTGATCCAAATTCCTGAATGGGCTGGCTGGCTGGCTGCTGTTCCTCCTCCTCCTCCTCCTCTTCCTCCTCCTCCTCCTCCTCCTCCTCCTTCTTTTCTCCTCCTCCTCCTCCTCTTCTTCCTCCTCCTCTTCCTCCTCCTCCTCCTCCTCCTTCTTCTTCTTGAGGGATTGAACCCAGGAGTGCCCTCTCCCTGAGATACATCCCCAGCATTTTATATTTAATTTTGAGACAGGGTTCTTGCCAAGTTTCCGAGGCTGGACTTTGCAATCCTCCTACCTCCAAAGTACCTGGGATTACAAACAGGCTTCACAGACCTGGCTACCTCTCCCTTCTCATTCCGTACTCTGATACTTCAGCTCTGGAGCAAGCCACAGGCTGTTTTTGTGTGGACATTTGTCTATGTAAAGCCCACATTTACATTTTATAACAAATTGTAGGAGAAACAAGTCAAAGCCCAACCCCCAATCTATTAGAGGGACTCCTGTGTGACTCCTGCCAGAGGTAGGCTGGAGAGAGTCAGGGGGCATTTTGGGGTCTAAGAGGGAACTGTGAACACCCTGCATCTAGGTGTATCCACGTGTGGGCTTGGGTTCAGCATGTCCTTTATCTGGTCTGCTGCATGCCTAAGCTTCTGTTTGGGGTAGGGGTGGGGTGGTCCTCAGTCTATTGTGTGGGCCTAGGGGTGTGTGTTTGTGGGGTCTCTGTCTACTCATTTGTAAAATGAGGATAGCAATCAGCCTCACAGGATCACTGGAGGGCTGTGAGTTAGTGCAGGTCTTGTACTTACGGCACCACATGGCGTTTAAGGCTTCCTGGGTAAATGTCAGTCACTGTGATGTGATTCCCAGCAGAAGCCTCAAGCCTCTGTATTCCTTCCTTTACCCAACTATCTTGGGCCAAGGAAGAGACCTGAATGCTCCCCTTGGAGAGGTCACAGCTCCAAGCCTGGGTGTTGAATCAGCAGGTATATTCTCTCACTCTGTGTGCATGCTAAGCCAAAGCCTAGCAAGGAAGGCCTTCAGTCTCTGCCAGGCCTGGGGAGAACTGGGAATGTTGGGGGGGGGGGAGGAAGACACTTACTCTCCAGGGAACCTGGGGCCTCAAGAGAGGGGCCCTCCAGAGAAATGAAAGAACTCAAAAATCAGAGGGGCACCCCTAAAGAGGTCCCAACTGGGATACCCAGTTCCCACTCAGGACTCACTGAAATCTCCATTGTCATGGAGACCACATTAGAACTGATTTTCTGGAAGAATCCTCCCCCACTTCTCTTGGCCTCAGAACTAACTACTCCCTAAACTCGTTCCAGCCCAAAACTGGGATTTGCTTGGGCTTGTCTCTCTAGCCTTGGGAAGGGTTCCTGCTAAGCTCCATTAGTTTGGTCTTAATTGTACATATTCACCAAACAAGCATTTCATGCAAACCGCATGAATACAAAGAAAGGTCAGGGAAGACTTAAGAAACAAATGAGCTCTCCTCTCCTCCAGGCCCTGGAGAACTCTCCAATACAGGGATGTCTGCACCATGAAGCAGAAAAGAAGACAGCCACACCACAGTGATAGGTGAGAATGCTCACAGAACTGACCCAGGCTGTCTTGAAAGGCTTATTGGAGAGGGCTTATTGGAGGGGAGGAACATTCATGGGCCTTAAAGAACATTTCAGCAGAGAAGGGGAATTTATTTTTATATGCCCAAGGTGATCTTATGGAATGAGCTGTAAAAGGGTGCCAGAGGTTTTATATTCTAGTTTCAGTTTTGACCCAGATGGGCTGGAAGAGCTTGCATGTATTATTTCTCGCCCGGCTGTAGGGGTGCAGGCCTGTAATCCCAGGGATTCGGGAGGATGAGGCAGGAAGATCACAGGTTTGAGGCTAGCTTCAGCAATTTAGTAAGAGACCCTCAGCAATTTAGAATGATCCTGTCTCAAAATAATAATTGTTTAAAAAAGCAAGAAAGTAATAAAAGGATTGGAGATGTAATTCAGTGGTAAAGCATCCCTGTGTTCAATCCCCAGTACAAAAAAAAAAAAAAAATAGAAATCCTTCCTGGACCTCACTGCCTCAGCTGAAAAGCCGAAGAGCAGTCCTTAGTGGTCTGGGGTTTGGATAGTCTCTTGTGTTAAATCACAAGCCAGGAGCTGGGGTTGTGGCTAAGTGGTACAGCACTCGCCTAGCATGTGCAAGGCCCTGGGTTCAATCCTCAGCACCATACAAAAATAAATAAATAAATAAAAATAAAGGTATTGTGTCCAACTACAACTAAAAAATAAATATTAAAAATTAAATAAATTGGGCTGGGGATGTGGCTCAAGCGGTAGCGCGCTCGCCTGGCATGCATGCGGCCGGGGGTTCGATCCTCAGCACCACATACCAACAAAGATGTTGTGTCCGCCGAGAACTAAACAATAAATATTAAAAAAAAAATTAAATAAATCACAAACCAGTGAGGAAGCAATATCAGACATTTCTATGCACTATCTCAAAGTAGTGCATTGACTAAAGACCTAGAGAATGTCTCAGAGAAAGCCTTGGGAGGCTTCATGTTCTGTGTGTACCAATGGCTGTACCTGGAGCAACCTAGCACAGTCTCTGACACAATAAATATTTATTGGATGGAGTGATGAACAAAGGACGTGACAGAGACTATTACCAGATCTTATTGGTCAAAATTGAGACCTATCATGCCCCTAAGTCATCAGATCATTTGGGGCCTTTGCTCCCCAGTAGCCCATGCTTGCTTTCAGGTAAGAGAGAAGAAAGATGTCTAAGAGGAAATTATGTTTTCAGACATCAACTATCCTGAGCCTTTGGTTTTTACAGTAATGAAAGTAGGTCACAAAGCAGCTCTGCAAAGTACAGACCCTTGAGGAAAACCCTGGATTCGATGCCAATTTACATTCATTGAGCACCTACTGCAATCCACTGTTGAAACATGGCTTAATTCATTAAATCATGGTCTCACAGGGCTTCAATGGAGAGCGTGAGGGTGGGAGCGTTGAGGCTGTAAACACTTGCGGTACTGACTGACCTCAGTACCTCTCTGAGCTTTCAATATATGTGAAATGGAACCAATAAATCCGCTACAACAGCTTATGTTAACGAAATGATCACGTGGAAGCAAAGTGCTTCATAAATGCTAGTTATTATTGTTCCTTCGGGCACACAAGGCGCTCGCCTCCCCCACAGGGTACATACACCGACGGGTTCACAATCTCACGTATACGCAGATGCATAGAGACGTGTGCCGACGCCAGCAGGAGAAGCTCGCGGGCGCCTCAAACCCCAGCTCAACGCAGAGCCCCATAGAGAAGCTACTGGATCCTGGGCTTCCCTCCTTTCTCTCAGTTCTTTATGAATGAACTCCGGCCGCGAGGAGTTTTTTTTTTTTTTTTTTTTTTTTTTTTTTTATGAATGGGAGCCCAGGACGTGAATGAAACCGGGAGCCAGCCCCTGTATTCTGATTGGTTACCACGGCTGGGAAACTCCGCCCCCCTGCTCCGCTGGGCGAGTCTCGGGATTGGCGGGCGTGCCCGACCCTAGGGTTTCATTCACAAAAGTCAATGAAACAAAGGGAACGGGTTGGGGGGGAGAGAACCAGGGCCGAGGCAAAGGAAATGCACCAATCAGCTGCTCCCCCGGGCTCACAACTGTCTGCGGCGCCCGGAAAACAAGCCGGTGCGCAGGGGACCTGGGGCAGGGGCCGCCTCGCTCCGGCCTAGCCCCGCGGCCCTCGGTGTGGTCCCTGGCTCCAGCACCGACGCCCCGGCCTCAGGTGAGGCTGCAGGAGAGGGAGGATGGAAGGGAGTGTGTCTGYGATTCCCCTCTTGGCCTCCAACACAACGAGCTCATCTCACCGCCCGCCTCCGCAGATTCCAGGGACTCTGGGTGGGAGGCGCTGGGATTCGGAGTTGGAGGGGGCGCCGGAGTTGTGGGTGTGCGAATGGTGAGAGCTTTGCTTGCTCCGTAGCGCGCGCCCGCGCGCGCCCGCGTACACACACACACACACACACACACACACACACACAGTCTTATGTAACCGAGTTCGGGCAGAGCAGGGCTGCAGAAAGCAGAAACAGATCCCGGCTCCCGGGAGCAGGTGGGACCTCCTTTGGCGGGAGGGGAGTGGTGACTGCTCACGGCCCAGCAGCCAGAAACCTCCACTTCGTCCCAGTGAGTCGGAGAAGTTTCACCATTGGACCCTGAGCCTCGGGAATGTCCCTTCCCCGTCACCCTGACCCCTCTCACTGTAGCTCTCCCAGGACCTTGTGCGAATACAGCCTCCTCCCTCCCTCCCCAGGTCTCTTCCCCCGCGCGGGGCCCCGGCCGTGTAGCCGGAGGGAGCGGCCGGATGGAGCGGAGGATGAAAGGCGGATACTTGGACCAGCAAGTGCCCTACACCTTCTGCAGCGTGAGCGCCGCGCCGGCCTCCACGCCCGCCCCCTCCCTGCACCCCGCCCCTGCTAGCCCCACAGCCTCCTCCGGGCGGTCCCAGCGGGGTCCTGGGTGGCCCGGTCCCTGAGTCACCCTGGGACCCCAACCCCGCCACCGGGGTAGGCGCCTCAGGGTGACTTGGGAGTACTCTCCCCCTTCTCGCAGAAATCGCCCGGAAATGGGAGCTTGCGCGAAGCGCTGATGATCCCGCAGGGGAAGCTCATGGACCCGGGCTCCCTGCCGCCTCCCGACTCTGAAGGTAAAGAGCCTGAAAGATAAACCGCGACCCTTTCCCCACTCCCCACACCCACATACCAAGGACTGATCCTGGAAATACCCCACACCCCATTTTCCAAAAAGACTCTCCCTCTAAGGGACTCTGTTCATTTTTCTCGGCCCCTACCCCCAAGGTGGAGGGGGGACACTGCGGTTACTAAGGGTTCCTTTTCTCTCACCATTCCTTCCACCTCACCACCAATTTCATTATTCATCCTTCAGATCTCTTCCAGGATCTAAGTCACTTCCAGGAGACATGGCTTGCTGAAGGTGAGTAGTTTCTTGGCCTTTTCTATTATTTGGGGGGCAGACGGCGGGGTGGAGGTGCTAGCAGTCCCATCTAACCTACTTCCTCTGTCTCCTGTCCTTATTCAAGGAGTTCTCCAAGACCCCTTCCCCAAGTCCTTGGCCACTCCGCTCTCCCCAGAGCCCAGTGTGGACACTTATATTGATATTTATTTTCTCTGCCCTAAGCCAGGCTTGTGTAACTAGGACCAGGGATGAATCAGACCATTGTGTGGGGTATTTGCTTATTTGAATGGAACTTGGCTCCAGGCCCATTTTCCTGGTTGAAATTTTCATTTGCAAAGTTTGTTTGGCAGGAACCACCAGGCCTAGGTGCATGTTGGGGTGTTGGAGGGGGTCAGCGAGGGACAGTAGGATGAGAAGAAGCAATTAATTTGTTACCTATCTTTGGGAGTTGCCAAAACATTGATCCTTATCCCTTTGGTTTCTCTTCCAAACTCCTAAGGCCAATTTACTGTCTAAACAAAAAAAAAAAAAAAAAAAAAGTTTCAATAATTCTTTTCTCTGCACTTTGGCAAAGAGGATCTGAGGCTGACTCCCCAAATAGCCTTGATTGTATTTTTAATGACAAGGGTCTTTGCCTCCTGGATGTCTCCACCCCCAGGCAAATTCCCCCCTTCCTGTATGCTGGGGGGTTAGTTACAAGCTGGCCAGGATGGGGTCAGTGGCCGGGCCTCCTCTGGGTGGGGTAGTGTGTTCTGGTTGGATTCTTTGATGTGTTTTGGTGGGGCCTGAGGGTGTCGCTGGTGGGGTTGCAGGTGGGAGATGTCATGGTGGTTTAGAAAGTCTGAGAAGGATTAACACTCCCATCTTGGTTAACACTCCTTTTATTTTAACACTCAGAAAACCAAGATATCAAAAACACTGGAATCCCTTTTTGAGGGTTTTTTTCCCCCTCTTCCTTAGGATCTCTACATTTCTCTTCCCTGGGTATCCTTCTTTGGAAATTGTTTGAACTTAAACCCAATTCCCCCAGAATCCTCCAAAGAAGGTTGGGGTAGAAAGAAAAGACCTCCGGCTCTATCTGTAGAGCGGAGACTAGGTCTGTCTTGGCGATTATGTTATCTCAAAAATATATGTTGCCGGAATGACTATTTAGCATAGACCATGTCCTCAAGACATTCTGTGGGATTAAGGCTCACTGGATGTGTGGGTGCTGGAGGAATCTGTGTTCTGGGGTCTTGTGTGCATCTTCTCCGACTTTGTATCTCCTGTGTGGCCAGCTCCCAGTTATAGGCAGAGCTTTGCCAGGGTTGGCTCCCCCCTCCAGGTTCCGGAGCTGGGCTGGAGCTAAAGAACGCGGAGGTGTCAGTTTCCACGGACTCTCAAACACTTCCTTTCCCAGAGCCTGATTTCAGTCTGACTTCCCATGCTCCTTCCCTTGTCTGTCAGCTGAGGGTCCTGACAGTGGGCAGCTCCAGGACTGTGAGCTAGGGGTGGACTCGGAGGTTGGCATTTTGGCAGCAGTTGGTCCATTTGTGCCTGGATTTGGGATGGAAGGGGGAGGAAAAATGTTCTCATCTCTCAACCTTGGAAGCCCCACCCCTTTGTGGTAGGTCCAGAGATGGTGCGTGTATCTATCTGCATGTGTCAATATGACAGTGTGCATGTGTGTTTGTGTGTGCGCTCGAGTGCTTGTGTGTGTGTGTGTGTGTTACATGCTGCTGCCTTAGCAGTCCCTGTACATTTAAATCCAGTGGGTGTGGAGGTGGGGGTGGGGAATGCAAGGCGGAGGGGGAGCTGGGATCTCCTTGGTTCCCTCTCCTTCCTTCTGAGGGAGCAGCTCAGGTTCCCAGCTGGCGATGGATGGCCAGGCCTGAGGGGGGGATGCTGAGGCCACTTGCTTCTTCTCATTCTCTCTGCGGAGACAGATGCAGCTGCCGGGGCCCTGTCCCCCTGCACCATCCCAGCACCACCCCAGCCTCCTCTCCTGCCTCTTCCCACCAGGTCAGTGTCCCCTGCAGCCCAGGGGGAACTTTGGGGTGGCAGGGAGGGACTATTTCCTTTGGAAACTTGCCAGTGGTGGGGTACATCAGGAGAAATGGGTGCCAGAGCCCAACAACCCCCCATCCCTCAGCTTGGTTTCTTCCTAGAGACTCAATTTGGAGAGAAGCAGCGGATCCTTGTAGTGTGGGTGGGGCTGTGGTGAACTGGGTGATGACCAGGTTGACCTGAGCAGGTATAGAAAGATATTGATGGGGTTGCCAGTTCTACATCTGATATCCGGACATTGGGGATGAGCATTGGTGAGACTCTTTAGAGGCAGCTTAGATATCTTTGGGGTTGGGATTTTCTTAGACAGAAGGGGATGAAGTGAGGCTAGGAAGATGTGTCTTGATTTCTGGAGAAATCTATTGAGATGCTGGAGAAAGGATCAGGCTGTCACAGGGAAATCCAGGCTCAGGCAGGCTGAGCCCAAGATGCATTCGGTTATGGTGAAAGATGTGCTGGTTCTAGTCCTGGGTTCCTTTCTGGCTTGTCAGGAATCTTTAGGAACCCTTGGGAACAATAACTTTGTGGTGTATTTGGTAGCTTGAAACATTGACTCTGAGCCTTTGTATGAGGCTGGGGTCTGTGAATTCCCAGAAGCCTTGGGATAGGTTCCAGGGGTCCTTCATTCCTCTGATAATACGTGTAAAATTTTCAGGCATGCACCATATACAACAGTATATGGATTTTTCTAGGAAGAAAACAATCTCTAGCTTTTAATCAGATTCTAAAGGAATGGATCTGCGATGGCTTTTCACAAAAATCATTACTCCTGACCCCTCTTCCAAGGGCTCCCATCCCCTTGCCCTTTGGCTTCTTCCCACCTCATCTGTAAGTCCCAAAAGAGACCCCATGTGTGAAGGGTGTACGTGGAGGACGTGTTTCACCCCTGGGTTGCCATGTTGCTGCAAGAGCAAAGTACAGCAATTGGGGTGTGCGCGTCCCCTAATGTGCAAGTCTGTGGGCCTGCATGCAGGCGCCTCAGCATGTCTGTGGGGAGAGATGAGGTTAACCCCCTCCTCAGTCTTCCCTAGCTCAATGCCTCCTTCACCATCTTTTTTCCTCCTCCCCTTCCAGAACTCTTCTGGAGACAAATGTCCCCTCCACAGATAGAGAACTGGTTCCTTCCAGTATCAAGGCTGCCAGGGTGGGGGCAGGGTGAGGGTGAGAGCTGAAGCCAGTGGCGACACAATGGAGCAGAAGCTCCAGAGAATGCATGTCTAGCCCTTTCACCCTAAGACTGACTCCTGGGAAGGTGACGGGCATCCATGTGTAGATAGATGGGTAATGTCTATGGTGGGCTTCACTGCTTAGCTATTTTAACTTCCTAATTTTTTGGAGCCCCTTTTGGGAGGCCCTCAAGTCCTTCTTTTTACTGACTCCCTGTTGGAAGGACAGCCCCTAAAAATCTCTTTCTCTGTCTTTCTCTATCTGGGCATTTTGCTGGTTTGACCCCTTTCCTTCCCCCTTCTTAATCATCTGCCATGACCCCAGGCAGATCATCCCCACCTTACTGCCAAGATGGAACTGGGGCAGACCCTGGCACACTGGCTCAATAGCCAGAATTCAGCCAAGTCAACAAGTAAATAGGGTGGTGTTTAAAAAAGAAAGAAAGAAAAATAAATAGAGTGGTATTCACTCAGGACCAAACCTGGTAATTAAAAATTCTCCTGCTCTCCAGGAACGCAAGGCTCTGCTGCTGTTCCTATTTCTATCCTTGTTGATGGTGTCTGGGTGACTGAGGGTTCTGATCTACCCTTTTGGGAGAAGACCAGTGCCTGGGAGGAGGGGCTAATCAGGGACTGGGTTCACTCCTGGCTCTGGGGAGAGAATGGCCGCACCTCTTTTGGGGTGGGAGCTGTATGCTGGGGGAAGCCTCCTCTGGGGGGTTCTGGTTCAGCTTTCGGGCTTGAGGCAAGATGACCTCCAGGGCTCTGTGCTCTCTAGCTCAGTGACATCATCAGGAGATGCCCCTAGCCCATTACCTCAGTGGAAACTGACCGCTAATGAGGCCCCATGAGGGGCCTAGACTACGTCAGCCACCCCAAAGTTCTGTACTTCCCTTGCCCTTGGGACTAAGTAGCAAAGAGGGAATGTTGCTCCCCCTTCCTGACACCTTTGGGGTATGGCCTATGAAGGGACAAGGGGTGAACTTATACCTTGAGCAGCTGAGCAGTTCTGCAAACTTTCCTTTATTCCTGTGCTTTCCAAATGAGTTTATCCTTAAGTGTCACTAGGGTCTGTTGTTAAAAATGCAGGTTCCTGGCTGGGGATGTGGCTCAGTGGTAGAGTGCTTAGCATGCCCAAGGCCCTGGATTTAATCCCTAGCATCACCACACACATACACATACACACAATGCCTGGGCTACCTTGTCCCATAGAAAGAGACTTTCCAGGGGAAAGGACTGGGAATCAGTGTATAGTAATAAAGCCCAGGAGATTCTTGAATCAGGCCAGTTGGGGAATGGCTGGCCACCTTTGTGCTATAGTTGGGCTCCTGAAAAGATGTGTGTGAGCTGCGTGTTTACGCCAAGGTATTTCATGTCCTTCTGATTTATCTGATCACTTTAGGATTGTATTATATTGACTACCACAAATTCTTCTTTAATTGATGTGACTCCTGATTCTTAAACTTCCTCACTACCATCTCTGTCAAGAAATCATCTATAAACCTATATTTAAAAGCATTTGACCCCTCTGATACTTAAAGCAAAGTTGTGAAAGATCCTTCTGCCAAACAGCTTACCACAGTCCTTTACAAATGTAAAAGACCTTGTAAAATGTGCTTTTGGGGACTGGCTCTGCCTCTTGTGTCACTTGATGTGGGGAGAGGGGGAACCTCAGGGTGAGGGAAGGGCTGGCTTAGTTAGATCTCCTCCCTTTTTTCCCCCCAACATTTATTTTTTAGTTTTWGATGGACACAATATCTTTATTTTATCTTTATGTGGTGCTGAGGATTGAACTCAGTACCTCATGCATGGTGGATGAACACTCCACCACCACTGAGCCACAACCCTGCCCTTTCCTTCTTGTTCCTAGGCCCCAAATGCTGGCTTGTGTGAGCCTGAGGAAAGGGGTCAGAGAATAAGGCTTTAGGTATCTGCTCTGAGCCAGACCCTTCTCTGGGTGCTGGAGAATCAGATGAACAAGACAGATGAAGCCCTTGCCCTTGTGGAGTTTAACTTTCTGATGGACAATAAATATGAACATTCATTAAGAAGATAAGTTTAGGGCCACAGATGTTGGAGAGAAATTCAAACAGATGTGAGCCAGGTGCAGTGGCACACACCTGTAATCAGGAAGCTGAGGCAGGAGGGATCACAAGTTCAAAGCCAGCCTCAGCAACTTAGCAAGGTCCTAAGCAACTTAGTGAGACCCTGTCTCTAAATAAATTTTTATAAAGGGGCTGGGTATGTGGCTCAGTGGTTAAGCATCCTTAGGTTCAGTTCCCAGTTAAAAAAAAAAGTGATAGAAAGCCAGGAGGGATCACTTTGATTTGAGTGGTCAGACAGGCCTCTGAAGAGGTGTCAAAGTGAGTTGAGACCTTGATAGCCAGAAAATAAAAGCAGGCAAGGATCTGGGGAGGAGGGGCTGAGTTTAATAGGGTTGAAAGCTAAAGAGGAGACCAGAATGCTAAAGAGTGACAGGCAGGACCATGCTGGGCCTGGGAAGCCAAGAATAAGAGTTTAGATTTCATACTTTAAGCAAGACAGAAAAATAATTAGATTTATTTATTTATTTATTTATTTGTAAAAAGATCACTCTGGAGGCTGGTTTTGTGGCTCAGTGGTAGAGCACTTGCCTAGCATGAGTGAGACACTATGTTCAATTCTCAGCACTGCATAAAAATAAATAAATAAAGATCCATCAACAACTAATAAAAATATTAAAAAAAAAAAAAAGATCACTCTGACAGCTGTGTAGAGAACATCAGGCTGTAGGAGGTGAGAGTGGGAGCAGAGAATTCCCAGAAGAGGGTGTGACTTGAAATCCAAGTCAGAAACTGTGGAGCCTTGACCTGGGGGACACTTGAAAGATGGGGGTGTGTTTGTACAGGTTGGGAATGTGGAGGTAGCCATCTCTAGCCATCTCCTTGTGCTTCTCACCAGCCATTCTGTACTCTGAGTTGTTTTATCCATCAGTTTCCACATTGTCCAATTTGAGAGCAGTCTCCAGGGCATGAGAGTCCAGTCTTTTTGGGCTACAGGTTCCGTTGCTTCACCTTAGATCCAGTCACTTCCTGGACTATCAGAAAGTTCTTCTTGGTGTCTACCCTTCTTCCCCTTCCTGCTGTAATCTTTTTTTTTTTTTTTTTTTTTTTCCCTTAAGAGAGAGCAAAAGTGGGCCAAAACACTGGGGTTCAGGGAGGTACTCCACTGTACATCCATCTGAGAAGCCCACTCCTGGAAAGGCCAGGATAAGAACTACAATTTAGAGTCCGGATGTGCCAGGATGAGCTGCTGTTCTATTTTTGTTTTCCTGACTATTTTCAAACCCAGCTCCACCCACCTGGCACTGTAGGAGTGCTTCTTAGACCTCCAGGCTTGGGAACCCTGCTCTCTCCAGTCTCCTCCTCTCCCATCCTCTGTCCTCTTTTCGCCTTTCTTGAACCTTCCTCTTTCCTCTTAGATCTCCTTTCCTGGGATTTAAAACTCTTGGGCATCTCAAAATCATCTGGAACATTGTTTAAAATGCAGATTCCTGGGGGCTGGGACTATAGCTCAGTGGCAGAGCACTTGCCTAGCATTCGTGAGGTACTGGGTTCAATCCTCAACACCACATTAAAAAAAATAAACATATAAAATAAAGGCCTTGTGTCCATCTACAAGTATTAAAAAAAATTTAAAAATGCAGATTCCTGGACCTTCCCATATTCTGAATCTCCCCATTTGATTCCAGATCCATAGGATCCCACTCCTTGTAACCCCTGCCCATCCCAGGTGGGACTCTGCTGTGGGCTCAGAGGGACCTCTGAGGGGTAATCTCTGAAGGGCGGGCCTGTCTGCCCTTAAGAAAAGTGAAGGGAATAAAGACAAAGCATCAAGGAAAAGATTGGAATCTGCTCAGACAGGTTCTGGGAACATGCAGTCTTTCCTCCAGGGTCTTAGTGGAGCCTAGGGGTGGAGGTGGAGTTGCCTGCAGTCTAAGGAAGGCTGTTGTTCCCTCCAGGGCTGGTACTGATCTGCAGGGTTGCAATAATGGTTCTGCCAGGGGCTGCCACTTAGGGTTCCAATGTTGGACTCACCTCTGACTTCTGACCTCTCTCTGCAGCTCAGGTTCCAGACAGTGATGAGCAGTTTGTTCCTGATTTCCATTCAGAAAACTGTGAGTAGAGGGCTTTGGGTGGAGGGAGTTGGGAAAGGGGGGGGGGGGCTGGAGGGGTTGGGGGAATAGGAAATGAGTCATAGGAATATCACCTGAGACCAGTTTACTTTCTCCTAAAGAAAGGGTGAAGGTCAGGGCTCCCCATTCTTGGGTATGGACTCAAAGACCAAGGAAATAACTGGGAGATAAAGCCCTAGGTCCAAATGTGGGGTTTGTCTCCCCCTAGCCATGTGACCTTGGAGCAGGATACTTTCTCTGTCTGATCCTGCATTTCTTTGTGTCTAAAGTGAGGGGCTCAGGCCTATTCAGTAGAACCCAGTTCTGTTGTTTTCTAAGGTTTTATACAATTCAGGTGATTTTGCCCCTATATATTTTGCAATATAGACATTTTTTTTGTTTGGATGTTACTGGCATCTAGTGAATGGGTAGAGGTCAACAGTGCTTCTAGAAAAAAAAATTCTATGATGCTCAAGTCAGCCACCCACATAAATAAATAAATAAATAAACAAACAAACAAATAAATAAATAAAMTGTCCAGCCTCAATATCAATAATGCCACCATTGAAAAATGCTGCTTTGCCTGGTACAGTGGCACATGCCTGTAATCCCAGTAACTCAGGAGGCAGGAGGATCACAAGTTCAAAGCCAGCCTCAGCAAATTATCAAGGCTCTAAGAAAGTTAGTGAGATCCTATCTCAAAATAAAAAATGAAAAGGGCTGGGGATGTGGCTCAGTGGTTAAGCACCGCTGGGTAGTTCAATCACCAGTACAAAGAAAAATAACAACAAACACACACAAAAAAAACAAAAAAACAGAAAAATGCTCCTTTAATGTCAGATACTTTGCTTCCAACTATCTTCACCAATGAAATGATACAGGGCGCAAAGAATGAAAAACAAGTAACAGAACCATTGATGACAGGGCCTTTGACTGGAGTGCAGTAAGCCAGGATGTCATGTAAACTGGCAGCCAGGCCTGGTAGCTGGACTTAGGGAACCCAGTAAGGGCCATAGGAAAGGACAATGCTCTTCACAGATAATTAGGAGCATGTGTATGCTTTTCAGCTGACATTCAAGCGGGCTAATATCCAACCTTAACTAGAAAGATTCTTTATAGCACCAAATAAGAAAACATGTCCCTCCCTTGGAACTTTCCAGGGCACTCAGGAAAACCAAAGGCCCTAGGTCCAAGGTGCTCCTTCTTACAAAGGGTTTTCTGGGATGCGAGCTTGCATTTATTATGTTGACATTTTAGATAGTTTCTTTGGTTAATACTGGTCATTAGGCTGATGTCTAAAACTAGATATAATGAAAACAGCCAAAATGTTCAAGTGTCTAACTACAGATCTTAGAAAATTGAGACCCAGAGAGGAGAGGAAGATGTACCAGTGACCCAGCTAGTCCTCAGAGAATAGAAGGTGTTAGAAGCCCTGTCTGCCTCTTGTGTGACATACTCTGCCCTTGTTTTGCCCTCATCCCTACCTGTGCAGTAGCTTTCCATAGCCCCACCACCAGGATCAAGAAGGAGCCCCAGAGTCCCTGCACAGATCCGGGCCTGTCCTGCAGCAGAAAGCCGCCACTTCCCTACCACCATGGCGAGCAGTGCCTTTATTCCAGGTGAGTCCCATCATGGGCACGGTGAAGGGTAGTCAAGGTGTCAGAAGGAGGGAGGAGCTCCGACTTGGGGTGGAGGGCTTCAGGGAAACCACCCCCCATGAACAGAGGCAGCAGTGGATGCAAGTGACAACAGAGGGGATTTCTTAGCTCCTGTAAGGAGCAGCCCAGATAAGGACTTCCTCTAAGTAGGCAGGAGGGACAATGCAAAGGATGGCTTCAGGGACATGTGTTAAGGCCAGGCAGACTGCTTTCACTCAGAGGCCTACTGTGACAAAAACACATTTGCTCTGGACAGGGGAGAGGTGTTCTTAAGTTTAGGCCTGTTTCAGAATTGAGAAGAGAAAGAATTCACTTAGGGCTGAGTCCCAGTCCCTTCTGCCCTTCCTTTCCTTGTAATCCCTGTTATTTCACTTCCCTGTGAAGGACTCAAAGATGCTCACCCAGCTTCTCTTCCTTCTCATCCCGGTCTCCCCTTAGCTCCAGTGCCTATGACCCCCCCAGACAAGTCACCATCAAGTCCCCCACTCCTGGTGCCCCTGGACAATCGCCCCTGCAGCCCTTTCCCAGGGCAGAACAACGGAGTTTCCTGAGATCCTCTGGCACCTCCCAGCCCCACCCTGGCCATGGGTACCTCGGGGAGCATAGGTAAAGAGACAGATCCACTACGCCTGGGGGCCCAGGCCTCACCAGTCTGTCCTCAATCCCTGAGCTCTCCATAGAGACCTGGCATGGGGGGAGAGAGGGAGGAAGGGATACTGAAGCAGGCCCTACTCTAGAGCTCACTGGTCAAGCCTGGGAGTGACAAGCTGGAGGAGGGATTAACATAAGATTCTCTTCTCTTTCTTCTCCATCCAACTACATCCAGCTCCATCTTCCAGCAGCCCCTGGATGTGTGCCACTCCTTCACATCTTCTCAGGGAGGGGGCCGGGAACCCCTCCCAGCCCCCTACCAACACCAGCTATCGGAGCCCTGCCCACCCTACCCCCAACAGAGCTTCAAGCAGGAATACCATGACCCTCTATATGAACAGGCGGGCCAGGCCATAGGCCAGGGTGGGGTCAGTGGGCACAGGTACCCAGGGGCGGGGGTGGTGATCAAACAGGAGCGGACAGACTTCACCTACGACTCAGGTAAGAGACTCTCCTGGGGAGGGCTCAGAGGAGTTTTTCTGGGATTGCCAGGTGGGGTGGCATGTGCTCAATGAGTAGTTCAGTTAAGCCCAGGTGTCTCCACAAGGTTTTTCTATTAACCAGCTCATAAGTTCAACCCACTGATTCACTTTCTCCCCCCCCCCACCCCGTGGATTCCAAAGAATTCTCTCTTTTTTTTTTTTCTTTTTTGTGGTGCTGGGGATTGAACCCAGGGCCTTGTGCATGAGAGGCAAACACTCTACCAACTGAGCTATATCCCCAGCCCAAGAATTGTCATTTTCCAGTCAGCAAACATTCAAATAAAAAGATAAGGGGTATACAGATCTTTGTCCTCAGGTAGCTTATAACAATAGGAGAGTTAAGGTATTTATTTCTATTTGTGTTTTAGTAATCTACTTAAAAAGTAAAGTACTGTATCTGGAACATGAGTGTACAGAGTTGAGGATACAAAGTTGAACAGAATGTGTCACCACTGGTCCCTGTCTCCAGCAGAAGTTTAAAAATACAAAGTGAGAGAAACATGAACTAGAAACTAGTTAGGCTCTTAGTTTCCCATAGGAATGCAGGGCTAATATATGGTTTCCACATCCCACCCCACCCCCCAAAAGCTGGGTACCTGAAATAGGGACTGCTTTAAATTCTAGTTCCACCTGGCTGTTGACAGGAGTGAGATGTACTCAGCTATGTTCATAAATAGCTATAGTTCAAAGCCTCAACCACAGAGGGAAGACCATTCTCAAGAAGGGCACAGAAAACTGGCGTCTCTTCTTTCCTCCTGATTTCTGTACTAAATTGAAGTCTATCAGCAATTTTGCATTAGAAAACGAAGTCCAGAGATTAGAGTAGGCGCAGAGCTGGCTAAGAGCTTTAGAACTTCCCTTTTCCTGGTACCCAGTCTTTCAGGGGCAGGGAGGTGAACCACAAACCCCACAGCTGCCCGACTGAGAACCGGATGGGTGCTCTCGTCCTCAAACCCAGGGCACAGCCAGGCCTGGCTGTGAGGTAGTGGGAGGAGGAGGAGGGAGATGCTCTTGCGGCTGACCTTCAAAGGCTGTAGACCGGAGGGATCTTGTTACATGCCCTTGAACTCCCGCCCCTCCCCCGTCAGCTTCCCTGAATGGAGTCAGGAATTCCATTCACAAAATGGAGGCTTGAATGAAGCCGCCCTCCCGCCTCCTCCCGGAGGTGTCGGGTTTCAGCCTCTCATTCATAGGTGGGAGTGGAGGGGGAGGGCGGGAAGGGGTTGGAACTGGAAAGGGTGGCTTTACACAGCGGGTTCCCGAGGTGGAGTGGGGAGGTTTCAACGCTAAGGAATGGAATTGAGTGCAAAGAGCTGTTAGACCTGAAATAGCAACCCAGTGCCCACCGCTGCTTCCCCAGATGCACGCACGCTCTGGCTCTCACGCACACGCACACGCACAGGGCTGAGAACCTGACCTGTTGACCGGACGTTTGCCAGTTCCGAGGGAATCTTAGGCGTGGACACCGAACCCTTTCTCCCCCGGAGGTTCATCTCTCACTCCCCTCCTCCCCCTGAACTCACAGGAAACAGCTGCTCCCTGGAATCTTGGGCCTTGTGGAACAGCTTGCCCAGCCCCAGCTGCTGCCATCTATGCCCTCTGCCCCAGCCCTCAAGCTGAGGGGCTCAAGCCTCGTGCTCCCTCTGGGTGAACTTCCCCTGGGATTTGGTGGTGGGCAGGCAACTGGGAAAGGAACAGTCACCGGAAAGCAGGCTGGCAGGAAGAACTTGAAAGTGTGTAGGACTTCCTCCTCCCCTCTCCCCCCAGCCGCATCCCAGACACCTGTAACATCACCCTTTCTCCACCCCTCACAGATGTCCCTGGGTGTGCATCAATGTACCTCCACACTGAGGGCTTCTCCGCGGCCTCCCCAGGTGATGGGGCCATGGGTAAGGCAGCCCCTCCTTCCAGTGTCAAGCTCTCAAGTTGGGGGAGGGGGCTTTGTTGGGGGGAAGGTCTCCTTAGCCAGGAGTCCCTGTGGATTATCAGTAAACTCTTAGATCTCAGCAACTCCAAACTTCCTCCACAAGGCTATGGCTATGAGAAACCTCTGCGACCATTCCCAGATGATGTCTGCGTTGTCCCTGAGAAATATGAAGGTCAGAGTGATTTCTTTGGAGGGTCAGGGTCTTATCTACATCCCCTACTGGCTGTGTCCCTGAAGAAATCACATTACATTTCATCGATGCAAGTTGGGGGACAAATGGGAAAGGGTCTGGAGAGGCCCCTTGAGGAGACACCCTGGGAGAAGGGAGGAAGTTGGCTGGGGCACCAGAAGACACAAAGCCCCCATATCTCCTATTTCTGCATTTTCCAGGAGACATCAAGCAGGAAGGAGTTGGGGCATTCCGAGAAGGGCCACCCTACCAGCGCCGGGGTGCCCTGCAGCTATGGCAGTTTCTGGTGGCCCTACTGGATGACCCAACGAATGCCCATTTCATTGCCTGGACAGGCCGGGGGATGGAGTTCAAACTAATTGAACCTGAGGAGGTGGGTACATGAGAGTGTCTCCACCCCTCCTTGCCAATGTCTTTGGAGCCTGGAGATAAGAGAATAGTAGCATGTGCCTTCACTATTACCCTCGTTCTTTATGACCTGAGTTCTTGCCAAGCCTGAGTTTGTGAGCTGGTACTAGTTGTATGGCTGGCTTAACATTTGGCACCAAGAATATCAAGTTTTGCCTGGCACAATAGCACACACCTGTAATCCCATCAACTCAGGAGGTTGAGGCAGGAGAAATCACAAGTCTGGGGCCAGCCTGGGAAAATTAGCAAGACCCTGTTTCAAAAAATAAAAGAAGTCAGGAGTAGGGTCGGGGCTGTGGCTCAGTGGTAGCACACTTGCCTGGCATGTGTGAGGCACTGGGTTTGATTCTCAGCACCACATATATAAATAAATAAAATAAAGGTCTATCAACAACCAAAATTATATTAAAAAAAAAAAGTCAGGAGTATATCTGGGAGGTAGATTGACTCTGATTCAACTCCTAGTACACACACAAAAAGAAAATTATCTCAAGTGCTCTGACACCCCCACTTTTTCTCTGAGATAGCATCTCCACCCTAAAACTTGTCTCTTTTGTCCTCAGGTCGCCAGGCTCTGGGGCATCCAGAAGAACCGGCCAGCCATGAATTACGACAAGCTGAGCCGCTCACTGCGATACTATTATGAGAAAGGCATCATGCAGAAGGTGGGGAAGAGGGCAGAGAGTCCAAAGACAAGGGGTAGGGGCAGTGACTGTGGGAGGTGACAGCAAAGGGGCAAGGAGAGCATTTTTCAGCAAGTCTGTAAGAGGAGAAAGTGAACTTCTGAAGGGAATCTGCATGGGAGGGAAAGGTTCCCACACTTCTACCTGAACATGAAGAAGGGCTCTGTCCCCCAGTCCTATCTTGAGGTGGGGTATACCTCGACTGACTGACCTAGCTCCTCTCTCCCCTTAGGTGGCTGGTGAGCGATATGTATACAAATTTGTGTGTGAGCCTGAGGCCCTATTCTCTCTGGCCTTCCCGGACAATCAGCGTCCAGCTCTGAAAGCTGAATTTGACCGGCCAATCAGTGAAGAGGACACAGTCCCTTTGTCCCACTTGGATGAGAGCCCTGCCTACCTCCCAGAGCTGGCTGGCCCTGCCCAGCCCTTTGGCCCCAAGGGTGGCTACTCTTACTAGCCACCAACAACTTCTCCCTCCATCAGGGGTGGGTGCTGCCCTGTGTACATATCAATGAATTTGGTGAAGGCCTCATTCTAAAACCCACAGATGTCTCTGGGGCAGACCCCTGCTATCCCATCAGTTGCCCTGTGGCCCATAGAGTTGCTCACCAGAGTCTTTGGGAAGCAAAAGTGGAAAAAGGGCAAATCTAAAGGTGGAATCTCAGAAGCTCCCCACTGGGAGGGGGTCACGTCCATCCTCAGGAGTTCAGGTCAGCCTCTTCCTAAGTCCTACTTGGAGGCCTAAACCCTGTTTCCCTTCCCTACCAGAGAACAAGTGATTGTTCTGTTTCAGGGGACAGAGAAGGAACTTCCCAACTTTATCCTTGCAGGCTAGCCAGGAAGTTCACTTGAGCTCCCCAGTTCTTACATTGTGGGGAGACAGAAGCCTAGACTCTWCACTGCCCTAAGCTGTGGCCCTGGAGAACTTGGGATGCCCGTTCTTGGTGCTCTCCTCCCATAGGCAGGAACCTGGGATGGGGATACTGGACAGAGGCAGGGAGGGATGGGTTCCAAGGGGCTCTTTGCCTCTCCTCTGCCTTTTCCTAGGCCCACCCAGGCTTGGGATTCCACCTCCACCTCATCTGCCAGACCTTAATAAAGGCCCCTACTGTTAGTTCTGCTTGCTCTTTGCTGCCTTGGGCAYGGACCTGGAAGAGAAAGATCTGGACTTGGGGCAGATAACTGAAGTTTGGGGTCTGTCTCTGACACTTAATTTCCTATGCTGATTTGGAAAAAAAGTAGTTCACTTCTGACTTTAGCTTTCCTCTGAAAAATGGGCTTCACAATACCTGCTTTTTCCTCTCCCAGAATTATTATTCAAGGACCCAGAAAMAACTGATAAGACATACTTTGTAATCTAGGTGGGACCCCCTTGGCCACTGAAGCATGGTTCCTGCAACAGTATTTATGCCACTGGGGAAGGGGCAGGTGGATCCTGAGCTGCAAGGCCTTCCCTCCGGGGACTTGGGCAAAGACAGATCTGCAGTTTCTGTGATCACAGTTGCTCCCATGACTGGACATACCCCAAATTGTATGTCCTGCCTCAGCTCCAAATTGCTATTTTTGCTAGAATTGGAGATAAGTGTTGTCTGGAAAATGAACCAAAGGAGAAAGGCACCTAGGCAAGTGAGTCCTGGGGGAGGCTAGAGCAGGCCAGTGAAGGAGACCTATCTTCCAGGGACTGGGCAGTGGGAAACAGCAGATTCTCCTTGTCCAAATTTGGGAGAGACAAGAGTCCTGAGGGTGGATAGAAAAGTAACACAGAAGCATGTGACTAAGGAGCTATGACAGGAGGAGTAGCTGAGATGGAGCAGGGAAGAATGGATGTTTCTAGAGCCAGCCCCTCTATCAAGAGCTTCCCAGGAAAGGGGCTGAGGTAAAACCAGGAGCCTCCTGTTCAATGAGAACTGCAGCTATGCTGAGGTGGGGCCAGCCCAGCACTACTAATGCCTGTGCTGCTTATGCTGGCAGCTTCCAGCCTGTACAACTCAACAATGGAGTGCTAGCAGGAAGGGATGCCTCTCAACCACTATCCACAAATAAAAAGCAGCATTTTTTCCTAGAAACACAAAACATCAATGTATTGAACAAGAAAATTAATTTTAAACCAGTTTAAAAATATACATTTAATTCCACATTAAAGCCAGGCTATCATGGTAGAAAGAAGGTATTAAAAATCAGGTAGAAACCCGGAGGGCTGGTGCACTTCAGAGGATTTAGATGAGAAGCAGTTTTTAGAGACAGGTCTCCACTGGCTGAGACATTTTGTCTTCTGGACTGTTCATTAACAAGCTGCTCTTCAGAGCTTTGTTTAAATTCTTAAATGTGGAGGGGAACTGCTCCAGTGAGATAGTGACAGCATCCACTGGGAGGAAATTCTTTGGGTTGCAGGAGGGACAGTCAAAATGTGCTCCAGACTGGATGAAGCAAACCCGGACCAGCAGCAGAGCTTACCTGCATCCCATCAGGACAGCCCCACATACACAAACACAAGCTGAGACTCAGCACATGTGCAGGGCCAGGAAACTCTGAGCTAGGCTCCTGCTAAGTTGGGGTGAACTGTATACTTTAATGGCCAAGAAGATTCCAACTCTCTGCCTGAGACCCACATCCTCTCCTGGGCTGTCACTCAATCTTGGGAAATAATGGTTCAAGAAAGAGAAACAAGGATCCCATTTTGAGAGCAGTAGGCCAGCTCTACTTCTGAATCTAGACAGGAGTCCCCTTCACCCTTTGAGCAGCCTCAGCTCTGCTGTCAACATGGTTATTCTGATGGACAGTCAAATGGTCAGACCCCTGCCTCACTGTCAAAGGAGAGAATTCTAGTTTAGAATTGATCAAAGTATACCCACACAGTTGGGCTCCTTCTTACAGAAGGTAGGATGACCAGCCCTGCCATTACTTACCCTTGGCCTGTTAACCATCCCTTTTCAATCTCAGCTTAAAACCCAGACCTCTCCTTAGGCACCAATAATGTCAGTGCCAGTAGGCACCTGGGATGGGCAGAGCCACAAGGCCCAGGAGTTGCTCCAGAATGGGAGATCTAGGCTAGAATTAAGACTGGGGAACTAACAATGGGCCCTGCTTCCCTTTAGGTTACATCTCTTGTTTCCTGCACTGTCTCTCCCATGAGGCCTTACAGGGTGACACATCATGCCCTGTTCCTTGATTACTGGCCTGGCCTCACTAAGAAGCACACTCCAACAGAACTGGGAGGTGCTCACTCAGCTTAATGAAGGGGCAGGGATCTGCAGTCAGCACCCTCCCTGGCCTATATTCTTCTCCCTTGAAATCTCTGTGAACTGTGTCTTTAGAGTGGTTTCTTTGCTGCCCAGTGACAACACACATTCCTTTATATTCCAGAACGTCATATAGTCTCGTTCAGTGTTTGACATACAATTCTGCAGTTCTCGCATTGACCTATTTCGGAATTTACTAATACAGGGCTGTGGGAGACAGTGGGAGCAATGCCATGATATAGGATGTACCCAAACTTCTCCACAAGCCCCACATCCTACCCCAGCAGGACCTGCCTGCTCCTCCTCCAGGTAAAAAGCATCCTGAGTTGCTGTGAAGGGCTCTAGGAAGTGGCCATTTCCCAAAACCACTAAGAACAAGCCCTGAGCACAGATGCTGGGCTCAGAGAGGTGGTATCTGTTTTCTGCTTGGGATGGGGRAGGAGAGGCTATAATCATAAAATCCCTTTGTTAAAGACCATCAAGGACCTCAGGGCAAAAAATAAAAACAAAATAAAATACAAGTTGTGTCAGTACTTGGCATGTTTCAAAAGGAAATGGGACTCACTGTGCATTGTTTGAGCATGGCAGGGGAGGGGGGGAGGGAGGGAGGGAGGAAAGGAGAGCCTTCTATGTTCAATATGTGGCATCTGTAACCACTCAGGCGCCAGATTCAAGTGCTTTGTGGAATGGATGTGGTTAATCACCAGGCCATCCACTGGCAAAGCTGGGCCAGGACCCATTCCGAAAAACAAGGCTGGAGGTCTGGGTTGTGCATTAGGTTTGAAAGAGACCCTGGGCTTTAATTCCAGGGTATTCTTCACCACGTACATCACAGATGCTAAATCTCCCTCACCCTGAACCCAGGCCAGTTTATTAACCTTTCAGCTAAAAGAAACAATCACAGAAAACCTTATTTCCTTAAGAAAATAAATATTTCCAGAAGGTTAAGCCAGAGTACAGGAGCTGGGGAGGAGGCAGGCAGTGAGGTCGACACTGTAGATGAGCATTATGGCTCTCTCTTCTAGGGAGCATCAGCTGGGGCATCAGGGTCCTCTGTAGCTGTGGCATGTATCAGACATTCATTCACTCCCTTTTCCCATTTCAAGGCTGAACAAGTTGTCCCTTTCTTGAAGATGATGCATTGTGTGCTATGCTGGGTATAAGCCCCTGACTCTCTGGCCCCAAGACTTGGGAGTGATGGGGGCTAGAGGATCCAGCCAACACCAGACTTAAATCCTGGTTTCTATCTTACCACCAAGAAAGAAATGAAAGTCAAGTTTAGCAAATGCAGTCACAGGACAGCTGTACATTCAGGACCAGTTTTTCATCGGTAAGAGGAAGTCCAAGTCCTGGGCCACTGCTATAGAAGAGGCAAATAGACAAGCTTGCCTGTCAGCGCCGCCGGAAGGCCCGGGATATTCTCCAAGCATTGGGCTCCTCATAACGGTTGTACAATGGTTCAAGACGCTGCTGCTTCTTCTGCTTGCTTAGTTTGGTTGGGTCAGAGACCTTGAAGAAGGCTGGGGCAAACTCCACAAGCCACCGGGGATCAATAGTGGTGACCTCACGCATATACTCTTTCGTGGTCAGCACCAACTCATGGTACACCACCCTGCAGGTGACAGAGACAAGACTCAAGCCTAAGATCAGGCCTCCTTCAACAGCCAACCTGGTCAGCAGAGCTGGCATTTTGTCATGTTACCTCTCCTGCCTAACCCCTTAGAAGACTGCAGTCTGTTTATGACAGCCACAACCCAATACTAGGAGCCTGTACTCCTCAAACACAAGTAAGATTACAGGATAATGCGTTATAGTTCTGGCTCTGGCCTGAACTAGTTAAGTACCTAGAACCTCTCATGTCTCTTCTCTAGATCTGCTCTTGCTCTGGAAAATGGAAGGGTGGTTTCTCAGACTGTTTCCACAGAATTCTAGGGTCCTGAAGAGGCACCTCATAAACTACCATAAGGATGTGAAAGGCCAAGCAGGCAAGGCTCCAACTCTTCTTTCTTCTACTGTGGTGGCACAGAATCACACCAATACCACATAGTACGTTTCTGCTTTTGTTTTTTATAATGGGAATTGAACCCAGGGGTGCTTTATTACTCAGCTACATACCTAGCACTTTTTATTTTTTGAGACAGGGTCTTGTAAGTTGCTGAGGACCTCACTAAATTGCTGAGGCTGGTCTTGAACTTGCAATCCTCAGCTCCTGAGTTGCTGGGATTACAGACATGCAATACTGTACTGGGCAGCATGGTGGTTTAAAATTAGTTTTGTAATAAGAGTCAAATTTTAATGGCCATACTACCAAAAGCTTTATATAGATTTAATGCAATTCCTATTAAAATCCCAATGACATTCTTGATAGAAATAGAAAAAGCAATCATGAAATTTATTTGGAAAAAACAGGAGACCCAGAATAGCTAAAGCAATCCTTAGCAAGAAAAGTGAAGCAGGAGGCATCACAATACCAGACCTTAAACTATACTACAGAGCTATACCAACAAAACCAGCATGGTATAGGCACCAAAACAGACTTGTAGACCAATGATACAGAATAGAGGACACAGAGATAAACCCACATAAATACGGTTATCTCACACTAGACAAGGATGCCAAAAACATTCACTGGAGAAAAGATAGCCTATTCAGGGCTGGGGATGTGGCTCAAGCAGTAGCGGGCATGCGTGCGGCCCAGGTTCGATCCTCAGCACCACATACAAACAAAAGATGTTGTGTCCACCGAAAACTAAAAACTAAATATTAAAAATTCTCTCTCTTTAAAAAAAAAAAGAAAAGATAGCCTATTCAAAAATGATACTGGCAAAACTGGAAACCCACATGTAGCAAAATGAAATTAAACCTCTCTCTCTCACCCACCCTGCACAAAAATCAACTCGAAGTGGATCAAAGATTTAGGCACTAGAACAGAGACCCTGCGCCTAATAGAAGGAAAAATAGGCCCAAATCTGTACCACATCAGCCTAGGATCTGATTTCCTTTAACAAGACTCCTAAAGTCCAAGAAGTAAAATCAAGAATCAATAAATGGGATGCTTCTTCTCAGCAAAGGAAAAAATTAATAACGTGAGGAGAGAGCCTACTGATTGGGAGAAAATCTTTCCCACATGCACTTCTGATGAAGCATTAATCTCTAGGATATATAAAGAACTCAAAAAACTTAACACCAAAAAAACAATAACCCAATCAATAAATGGGCTAAGGAACCGAACAGACACTTCATAGAAGAAGAAATACAACTGATCAACAAATATATGAAAAAGTATTCAATATCTCTAGTAATTACAGAAATGCAAATCAAAAGTACTCTTAAGATTTCATCTCACTCCTGTCAGAATGGCAATCATCAAGGATACAGGCAACAATAAATTTTGGCGGGGCTGGGGATGTGGCTCAAGCGGTAGCGTGCTCGCCTGGCATGCGTGCGGCCCAGGTTCGATCCTCAGCACCACATACCAACAAAGATGTTGTGTCCGCCGAGAACTAAAAAATAAATATTAAAAATTCTCTCTCTCTCTCTCCTCTCTCACTCTCTCTAAAAAAAAAAAAAAAAAAAAAAAAATTGGCAAGGTTGTGGTAAAAAAGGTACACTCATATATTGCTCGTAGGATTGCAAATTGGTGCAACCACTATGGAAAGCAGCATGGAGATTCCTCAGAACACTGGGAATGGAACCACCATTTGACCCAGCTATCCCGCTCCTTGGTTTATTCCCAAAGGATTTAAAATCAGCATACCAGTGACGCAGCCACATCAATGTTTATACCTAGACTATGGAACCAACCTAGGTGTCCCTCAATAGATGAATGGATAAAGAAAATGTGGTATATATACTCAATGGAATATTACTCAGCTTTAAAGAAGAATGAAATTATGGCATTTGCCAGTGAATATTTGGAGTTGCAGAATACCATGTTCAACAAAATAAGCCAATCCCACAAAACCAAAGGCTAAATGTTTTCTGTAATATGCAGATGCTAAAGCACAATAAGACATAGGACACTAGGGAAGAATAGCATTATCTTAGATTAGGTAGAGGGAAGTGAAGAGAGAGGAGGGGAGGGGATGTGGGGATAGGAAAGATAATAGAATGAAACAGACATCATTACTGTATGTATATATATATATGACTACATGACCAATACAATTCTGCAACATGTACACTCAGAAAAATGAGAAATTATGATATATCAAAGTGCATAAATGCATTCTACTGTCATGTATAACTAATTAAAACAAATAAAAAACATTTAAAAAAAAGAGTCCAATTTTTTTTCTATTTTTTAGGTTTCGATGAACACAACATCTTTATTTTTTTATTTTTATGTGGTGCTGAGGATCAAACCCAGTGCCCCGCGCATGCCAGGCAAGTGTGCTACCGCTTGAGCCACAGCCTCAGCCCCAAGAGTCCAATTTTTAAAGCTGGGCACAGTGGCACATGTGGGTAATCCCAGCAACTCTGGAGGCTGAGGCATGAAGATCTGCAAGTTCAAGTACAGCCTCAGAAAAATACTGAGAATCTCAGCAACTCAGCAAAACCTTGTATTAAAATAAAAAAATAAAAAAGGACTAGAGATGTAGCTTGGTGGGAGAGCACCCTTGGGTTCAATAAAGAAAGGAAAGAAATAAGTACCTAAAGAAAAAGAAAGAAAAAGTCCAATTTTTAAAAAATACTACTTTTTAAAACCATCTCACTAAATGATTTCTAAGATGCTTCCTAGCTTTTACCCTATTTTATTTCTCTCAAAAGGGCTTGATATTGTACCTACTTGAGGCTTCTACAGCTCTAGAATATAAGGAAAATTAGAACAAGAAAGAGCTGGGTGGTGCACATCTGTAAACCCAGAGGCTCAGGAGGCTGAGACAGGAGGATTTGGAGTTCAAAGCCAGCCTCAGAAATGCAGTGAGTCCCTAAGCAACTTATCAACACCCTAACTCTAAAATAAAATATAAATAAGGGCTGGGGATGTTCAGTGGTTAAGTGCTCTTGAGTTCAATACCCAGTACAAAAAAAAGGGAAAGAGTTGGATGGTAAAGATACAAGCTCAAAGTGCCAGGAGATTTATAAGTTCTCTATGCCCGAAAGAGCCCCTAAAACCTGCCCACTTACCATTCTGGCTGTCTGTTGAAGAGAGCACTGGAAGGGTGGATGTAGACCACCTGCTGGTCAATCAGCGTCCGGTAACCCTCCTGTGGGTCTTTTTTGGCAGCATTACGGAAGAAACCACTGCAGATGGCCTTCTGCACTCGAACTGTGGATTTGCCACAGGAGACCACATCCAGTTTATGTCTATCAAGAGAATGAGTAAGGAGTGGATAAAGAAAGTACCCAATACCCCATGCTGGGATCCCAAATAGTCACCAGGACCTTCCTTCCTGCCCTAAGTATACTACAAGGGTAGCTCTAAGCAGCAGGCAAGATAGAGGCAACTAAAAGCTAAGATATTTCATTTAAGCAAGAATTCAAATTTGGACTAATAATGTTCCAGAAGATTGTAAACAAAGCATTTTTTAACAACTAATATATCGTCTTCCTCTTAGAGTTTCTGATGGGTGTCTCAGCTGCATCTTGCCTAGGTAGAAGTAGTATAAAAGGTGGAAATGCTAGAAGAAAAGGGTTCTGTGAGGACCAAGAGTACATGTTCTTATAACTTTATAGATACATTCAGAGATAAACAGACATGATACTCATGGAGATTCAACCCAAACAGAGAAGTCACCAGATTCCTGGCTTACCTATCCATTATGCCTAACATCTGTTTGCGAATGTCCTGGGCCCGGCGCAGGGAACGAGCCTGGATAAAGTTCTCGTAGCACCAAGGGTTGGAGAATTTGTTGTTCTTCCAGGAGTTGTACACAGCCAACAGGGTAAGGTGGTCCCCTTCTGTCTGATGGAATTTGGCTTTCTTTTGATCTGCGAGGGCTTGCTTATCCTGCCAATTAGTGGGACAGAAGATCATTTCCATCTAATAGTTATTAACTAAGCATCCAGCAGTCCTAGGAACCCTACAAGGTCCTGTCAGAAGTGTCCCCATCAGCCATGATAGAGGCAACAGGCTGATTTCGCTGACTTCACCATACCCCTACATGAAACATGGGCTTTAACTCCTTACCTTGGGCCTGTAGAAGACGTTCTGCACAGACAGCATGGACACGATGGTCAGCATTTCCTCACTGCACCCCAGATGCACAGACATGATGAGCATTTTGCACAGCATTGGCTCCAAGGGGAATTCTGCCATCTAGAGGAAAAATAAGGAACTACAACTGCTTCCCTGTGGAGGACATGGACTGACCAGGATCATTGGTCAACTGGTCAGAGGGGGTAAGAGATCACAGGAGACCTCCCTAAAGCAGGATGACATGGGTGTTTGTCTCCATCAGAAAACCACTTTTTCCCCCTCAAATAAACCCCAATGGAATGCAGGTGACCAAGAACATAATTACTATTGGGGTAAAAAGGAATATTACAGACATCTTTTAAATTTAAGACTAGTTTAAGTAATCATCCTGAGGTAAAATTAACTGTGAATAGAAATCTCTTTTTCTATAAAGAAGAAAGTTTAAAGTAATAGTAGAAGCAGAAGTGTGGCACATGCCTGTAATCCCAGTGACCTGGGAGGCTGAGGAAGGAAGATCACAAGTTCAAGGCCAGCACAAAGAAATTCAGCAAGACCCTCGACAACTTAGTGAGACCCTGTCTTAAAATAAAAAATAAAAAGGGGATGTAGCTCTGTGATAAAGCAACCCTGGGTTTATCGCTAGGTGGGGAAGGGGGGAGTGACAGTGAAAAATTAAGGTTAAAATAAATAAATATCTAGAGGGCTGGGGATATAGCTCAGTTGGTAGAGTGCTTGCCTGGCATGCACAAGGCTATGGGTTCAATCCCCAGCACCACCACCAAAAAAATAAATAAATAAATAAAAAACCTAGAATCCTACCTCAAAGCTTTTCTAGGACCTCAATGCTTACTTTTGCAAAAACCAAAGATGGAAGACTGGCCAGGGAGCCTTCTCAAGAACACAGGAAACTATCTGTCCCCTACTTACCCTGCGGCCCAGGCGAGTGAGCAGGCCCTCATCATCCAAGGCCCCCAGGGTGTATAGCTGCTCCATGGCTGTAATCAAGGTTTCCATTGGTGGGGCATCCATGAAGTCAAATGACAGCAGGTCATTGATGCCCATGGCCTAGAACAGAAGAGAAACAAGTGATGGGAGGATCAGCTTTGACAGTCTTAACAGGAGGGAGGCTACTTCTCACTTTCTTTCCTATTTCTTCAAATGCCACCAGTTGAGAGTAACAATGAATTCAAGATAAGCATACATAAAATTCAAAAACAAAAAGACAAAACAACCTAATTAAAAAGCAGACAAGGACTTAAACAGGCATTTCTCTAAAGAACATATACAAATGAAAAACAAGCACTAGTAATTAGGGAAATGCAAATCAAACCATAACAAGGGGCTGGGAAATGCAGCTCAATGACAAGAGCACTTGCCTAGCATGTGTGAGGCTCTGGGTTTGATCCCCAGCAGTGCAAAAAAAAAAAAACAAAAAACAAAAAACAAAAAAACTACAATAAGATACTACTCCATACCCACTAGTATGGCTTTAATTAAAAGAAAAACAAAACACAAATAGAAAATAAGCGTTGGCAGAGATAGGAGAAATATGAAAACTTATCTCACTGCCATAGGAACATAATATGGTGAATAAATAATAAATAAATAAAATTAAAAAAAAAAAAACATAAAGCGAATGCAGAGGAGTACACCTGTAATCCCAGCAACTCAGAAGGCTGAGGCAGAAGGATCACGAGTTCAAAGCCAGCCTCAGCAGATTAGTGAGGCATTTAAAGAGACCCTGTCTCTAAATAAAATATTTTAAAAAGCGGGGGGCGGGGGGAGGGAGGGCAGGGATGTGGCACAGTAGTTAAGCACCCCTGGGTTCAATCCCCAGTACCAAAAACAAACAAAAAGTTAAACTACTATATGACCTATCAATTATATCTCTAGATATAAACCTAAAAAACTGAAAGCAGTGACTCAAATATTTGTATACTAATGTTCATAGTGACAACACTGTGAATGTATTTAATGCCAATTATACACTTCAAAAGGTTACAATGGGGCTTGGGGTTTAGCTCAGTGGTAGCTTGCCTAGTAGGCATGAGGCCCTGGGTTCAACCCCCAGATTAAAAAAAAGGGTTAAAAAAAAAAAAAAAAGGTTACAATGGCTTGCATTGTAGCTCAGGGGCAGAGTAAGTGCTTAGCATGTACAAAGCCCTGGGTTCATTACTCAACACTAAAACAAAACAAAAAAAATATTATATTAGTATATTTATGTTATATGTATTTTATAATAACAATAAGATGTTATATCACTTTGCCTTGTCTCTGCATATATCATTTCTACTTTACATCTGTAAAGAACTTTGTACCATGTTGGGTAGTAGGAACTAAGATATGCTCCCTGCTCTTGTAGAGTTCACAATGGGTGAGAATCACATTCACAAAACTACCTCAGGGTGCATTATATGTGCCTGGCACAGAAGTTGTTCAATACATTTGTTGGCTAATCTGATAAATAAAAGCAAGTGAGTGATGCACTATTCAATGTGCATAAAGGGTGATGTGGTAGGACTGAAGCTTTCTATTTCTTTCTCATAAAGTGATCATGACCATAAACACAGCAGGTGTTCAATAAATGCTTAATTGTGTGAATAATAACTATGAGAAATTATGTTAGCAATTATTAAGCACTGTGTGCCAAGTGTCTTTACCTGCAATATTCCACTAATTTTTACAACAGATAATATTAACAGCTCCCTGTTTGAGACAAGACCACAGAGCAGAGGGCACAGCAGATAAACCTGCCCAAGGTCACACAGCTTGGAGCAGAAGTCTGAGACACAGATGGCTCTCTGCTGGCACTCCAGAGACTGGAGCAGGTTTTTTCTGAAGCTGTTTTAGCCTCTCTTACAGGGAATGAATAATAAATGACAAGAGAGCACTCTGCACTAGTAAAGTGCCAGGGCTCCAGGGTAGCATTGGTGTCGGGGGAAATGCCATCAGCTGGGAAATTACTTTTGCAGCTACTCCTGCCAAAAGAGAATGAAAGTCCTCCTGGGAACCAACAGAGGAAGAGCGATGATTCAGAATGAAAACCAAGCCCCCAGAGGGCCAGTCTGAAATCTCTAATGATAGTTCCTTGCAAAGTTTTCAGATAAGGGTCCCCCCACCCCTTGTAAAAGAAAAGAATCAGATTGGAATGCTAAAGTGGTTGAGGTTAAGTGTGTTTGTCCACAGTTTGCACAGATCATATTTTTCTAATTTCATTTTAGAAAATGCACCTAACTAAAACCTATTACAATCAAATATCCTGCTGGTTATTATGATGAGAAAAAAAATGTGTGTTCACAGTAGACATACCAACTTTGCCCCTGACCTGCCACAGGGAAACTGTTATCACAGCCATTTGTATTTCACTCAAAGGAACAGGTTTCATGAGATCAGTCAAGTATTTAACAAGGTTCATAAAGCTGAGCTTCATTTATGACTGTCCCACCAACCCTTTCCAATAAGACAGTGATTTTTACCTTGAGGGACAGTACTGTGCTTGCTAAGTTGGTTCTCTGGATTTCTGGCACATTAGTGGTCAGCATTTCATCTCGGTAGGCACGTTCCGTATATAGCCTATAACACTTCCCTGGGCCAGTTCTCCCAGCTCTGCCAGCTCGTTGTTTTGCCTGAGCCTAGGGGGCACATATAAAAATAACATATTTGTTAAACACTACTTACCAACTTTACCCCGGAAATCTGATGGTGGGAGGCACTTGGCAACTGGCAAAATCAGAAATGGATTTATTTTTCACTTCCTTTGGTATCATTCCAAGACTATCAATGCTCTCTTACCCTCCCCTCTCTCTCCTTTTTAAAATATTTATTTTTTAGGTGTAGATGGACACTACACAATGCCTTTATTTTTATGTGGTGCTGAGGATCGAACCCACAATGCCTTTATTTTTATGTGGTGCTGAGGATCGAACCCGGGTCCTGCCCATGCTAGGCGAGCGCGCTACCCAGTGAGCCACAATCCCAGCCCCCCAGTCCCTCTCTATACTCAGCACCTTAGGGGTTTGTTCAAGAGAGGCAAAGATGAGCAGAGTAAATGGAAGAAATAGAAGAAGCTAAAACAATGATAAAATACCATCTCCTCAGTTATGACCAAACATATAAGAAAATAAATAAAGTATGTTAATCATACCAATAATGACTCTTGCAGCTATTCAAAATCAGGTCTGCAATGTTCAATGACAGAAGGAAACAATAACTCACATTAAGTGAAAGAAGCAAGTTAGAAAACTCTGCAATACAAATTAATTTTGTAGAAAGTCTTTATGTGTACATATAAATTACTGTATTGAAATGGCTGGGGAAAAAATACCCTAAGATATTAATAGTGGCTAACTATGAGGGTGGTGTGAAGATGAGTTCTATTTTCTTTAGACTTTACCAAATATAGAATATGTATTCTGTTAATAATCAGTAAAATTAAATTCTAAAAAAATACACAAAGAGGCTGGAACTGTGGCTCAGAGGAAGAGCACTTGCCTCACATGCATGAGGCACTGAGTTCGATCCTCAGCACCACATAAAAATAAAATAAAGAGATTGTGTTCACCTGTAACTAAAAAATAAATGTTAAAAAAATACACAAAACCTCATACTTAACTATTAGAACTGCAATCATGAGAAAAAGAAACACAAAGAAGGCCGTTTTCTTTTCTTTTTGGTATTGGGGATTTAATCCAGGGACCCTAAGTTGCTGAGGCTAGTCTCAACCTTGCAATCCTCCTGTCTCAGCCTCCCAAGTAGGATTATAGGCATGCACCATAGCACCTGGCTAAGAGGGCCATTTTCTGACAAAACCATCTGTTGTTACAAACAGTACCAGGATCTCCAGGCATGGCAGTGCATCCCCATAATCCCAGTGGCTCAGAAGACTAAGGCAGGAGGATTGCAAGTTCAAGGCCAGCCTCAGCAACTCAGCAAAGTCCTTGGCAACTTAGTGAGACCCTGTTTCAAAATAAAAAATAAAAAGGGTTGGAGATGTGGCTCAGTGGTTTAAGCACCCCTGGGTTCAATCCCCAGTACAAAAACAAAGAAAAGAAAAGAAACAAACAGTACCAGGATTTACAATCAGAAATGGATTTATTTTTCACTTCCTTTGGTATCATTCCAAGACTATTGGAAAAAAAAAAATTGTTACACCAGCTCCAAATATACGAATGGCCTAAGAAAGGTCAAAAAACACACAAATCCAAGCAGCAATCACACATAGTGGTGGGACTCCACAGCATTATAAAGATGTCACTCTCCAAATCAGGAAAGCATGTGTAACAATTTTTTTGGTCATTATGAGGGTCACACAATGCCCTGAGAAGCTGTAGAGAGCACATAAGCTCAAGCCAGACTGCTCAGCTTCAAATTCTGCCTCCACCAACTATGTGATGTTAGGCAAGTCCCTTAACCCCCTCTGTGCCCAATCTCCTTATCTATGAAATGAGGATTATGATATCTAAAACTGGGATAAGAATGCACCAAGTCAATGAATGTAAAAGTACCCATGGGGGTTGGGGATATAGCTCAGTGGCAGAATACATGTTTAGCTTGTACAACCCTGGGTTTGATCCCCRGTACTAGCAAAGAAAAAAAGTACCTAGAATAGGGTCAGACTTGATAAATGCCCTTTAAGCATTAACTATCACTGTTATTTAAGTCTCAAAATGAAGATAAACTTATGGGTTACAAAAGTAACACATGCCTATTATAAAATATTAAGACAATATATAAAGAAAAAATGCATACCACCTTATCAGCACAGAAACCAATAGCACTACCCCCCCCCCAAAAAAAAAATTAGCTGACATGTACTCAGTCTCAGCCAGGCCTCACTCATATCCACTCTGTAGAAAAGCACACCATGTATTTTTAAACAAAAATTGGATTATACCATTCATGCTATTTTATAGCTTGCTTTTTTCAAATAATTTATCTCAGATGTTTATGTTATTAAATATAGATACACAGTAATGGTTAATGTCACATAACATTCTGTGGCACGGATATACCATATATTATTAAATCCTTCCCTTTTGGAGCTCATTTAGAAAATTTTCCAGGTTTCCCCTAATAAAAAAAAATGTTTTAATTAAACACCCTTTTCCATTACCTTTGAATACGTATTTGGTCATTTTTAACTTTCCTGTATATTTCTAGAAGTGGAACAGTTAGGTTAAAGAGATGAACTTTAAAAATTTTGGATATTCTATTACCAAACTGCCTTCAAAAAGGTGATCAGGTAATTCATTGTAGAATGTAATTTAGGCAGGAAATGATTCCATAGTTACTAAAGAACTGTGTCTCACAAGTTATTACTATTTTACATAAGTAAAGCTAAGTACAGGCCATTAAAAAATATGTTCTTTTCAACTAAATTGGCTAACAGGATACTAGAATTCAAACTTTCTTTGAAGTTCATGTTTCATAGGTTATTTTAATGTTGAAACACTAAAGATGATAAACATGAATCTTTTTTTTTWAAATTTTTAATATATWTTTTTTTTTTTAGTTTTTGGCAGACACAACATCTCTGTTTGTATGTGGTGCTGAGGATCGAACCCTGGCCGCGCGCATGCCAGGCGAGCGCACTACCGCTTGAGCCACAGCCCCAGCCCTTGTTCCACTGAGTTCATCTTGAAAACAATTTTAAAATATGGAACCATAAAACATTTCAGAAAGGCCTTAGCCAGGATTTTTAAGAAAGCCACTAGTTAAGCCACCAGACCTGAGAAATAGGTGTCACCACAAGTTGATCAATCCCTGTCTTGGAATTATAAACTTTCTGTTTCACAAATCCAGGGTCCACGACATAATAGATGCCATCAATAGTTAGTGATGTCTCTGCAATGTTGGTGGCAATCACGACCTGCAGGAGGGAGAGGCACAGCTGGAGTGAGCTAAGGTATGACAAGACTTCCAACCTCTGACATTTCCCTAGGGAGTGTGCAGCTATCTCCTTTCAAGCAAGTTAAGATGACATTTTTTTTTAAAGGCATTCACAATTTTAAAAAATTTTTTTAATATTTATTTTTTAGTTTTCGGCAGACACAACATCTTTGTTTGTATGTGGTGCTGAGGATCGAACCCGGGCCGCATGCATGTCAGGCGAGGCGCTACCGCTTGAGCCACATCCCCAGCCCTAAGATGACATTTAATCCAAGCTCAGCCTCCAATGGGCAGAAAGAAGGTTCCTTCACCTGGTAGGTTACGTTGGAGATGGGACGGTACCTGAGAGAAGTGGAATAGTGAAGAGCTAAGGCTGATGGAAGCCAATTTCATTTAGTGCAAATGGCTGCATATCTCACTGTCTAGATCCAATGTTGATTACTACAATTTTAATTTTCTAGCACCCTGGGAAAGCAGAAATTTCCTGGCATCACATGTGCCAGTGCAAAATGAGATTTTTCTTCCCCCCACCGAGACATCTGGACTACAAAATGGGCTGTATGTATATATGGAACAAGAGGGAGATTGTTTATTTTTTCCCGATCATAAAATGAACCACGAGGCAACAAAGGAATTTCACGGTTTGTCTGTGTGCAGCAGTCTATGTGATCCAGAAGATTATTATTCTCAGCTTGGCTCTGCCACTGTTCTTCCACCCAGAGGTTCAGCTCATAAAATACAATTGCTTAGAAAAATCATTGCTAGGAGGCACCCAAATATCTCTCATCATTCCAGCATCTTACTGGCCGTAAAAGCCTTCTACCTGCCACAGAGCTACAGAAGCCCTGTTTTAAAACAAGTTCAGGGGCTAAGACTATGGCTCAGTGGTAGTACACTTACCTGGCATGTGTGAGGCACTGAGTTTGATTCTCAGCACCGCATATAAATAAATAAAAGATCTATCAACAACTAAAATAATATTAAAAAAAAACATAAGTCCAACCACCAGGAATAAAATAGAGGAAAAACTCACCATTCCCCCCCCCCCCCAAACCTGCTTCCCCTCCTGTGTTCATCTCCTCAGCACCATCTTCCATCCAGATGTCCAAGTAGGAAACCTGGGAGTCATGCCTAACTTTTCCTTCACCTTCTCCCCTCCACCTCCCAGTACCCACCAGGTCTCATTTATTTGAGCTCTTTAGTGTTATTCAAAGTCATCTGTTTACCTCCTAGGTATATATTTAAGAGAAATGAAAACATATGTCCAGGGCTGGGGATGTGGCTCAAGCAGTAGCGCGCTGGCCTGGCATGCGTGCGGCCAGGGTTCGATCCTCAGCACCACATACAAAGAAAGATGTTGTGTCTGCTGATAACTAAAAACTAAATATTAAAAAATTCTCTCTCTCTCTGTCTCTCTCTCTCTCTCTCATCTCATCTCTCTCTCTCTTTAAAAAAGAAAAAACAACATATGTCCAAAAAAAAACTTGTAAACAGATGATACATGCTTATAAGCTCAGCTACTCAGGAGGCTAAGGCTTGAGAATGGCCAGTTCAAGGCCAGCTTATGCAACTTAGCAAGACACTGTTCAAAAAATAAAAGGGCTGGAGACATAGTTCAAACATAGAGTGATTGCTTGGCAAACGCAAGGTCCTGGGTTCAATTCCCCATACATACATACATACATAAAACTTGTAAACAAGTGTGTATAGCAGCATTATTCATGATAAGCCCCAAAGAACAAAGAGTCCAAATGTCTATCAACTGATGAATACTAAACAAAATGTAGTACATCAATACAATAGAACAGTATTCGGCAATAAAATGAAATTTAGTGTTGACATGCTACAATGTGGATGCATCTTGGAAACATGCTAAGTGAAAGAAGCCAATTACTAAGGACCACATATTATATGATTTCATTTATATGAAATGTAAAATGTAATAGAATAGGCAAATGTAAATGTATATGTATAGGCAAACATAAATATACATGAAATGTAAATGCATAGAATAGGCAAATCCACAGAGATGGAAAGCATATATTAGTGGTTCCCAGAAGCTAAGCAGAGGGGTGAATGGTGGGGAAGATGACTGCAAAACTGTACAATTTCTTTTTTGAGATGATAAAACTGTTCCTAAAATTTTGTGTTGATGGCTACACAATCCTATAAATATACCAAAAGAAACTGAACTGTTCTCTTGAGAAAAGTGAATTGTTTTATGATTTGAATGAATATATCCTCCAAAGTTCATGTGCTAGAAATTTAATCCCCAATGTAATAGTATTGAGAGGTGGGACCTTTAGAAGGTGACTGGATCTGTCTGGAAGGCTCTGCCCTCAAGAACAGATTAATACCATTACCATGGGAGCAAGTTAGCCATCTCAGGATCGGGATTCTGATGAAAGGAGGAATTCAGCCCCTTCCCTACTCATCTGTGTTTCCTGCTTTCTTTTTTTTTTTAAAGAGAGAGTGAGAGAGGAGAGAGAGAGAGAGAGAGAGAGAATTTTTAATATTTTTATTTTTTAGTTCTCGGCGGACACAACATCTTTGTTGGTATGTGGTGCTGAGGATCGAACCCGGGTCGCAGGCATGCCAGGCCAGCGCGCTACCGCTTGAGCCACATCCCCCTGTTTCCTGCTTTCTTGTCCCTGTGCTCTCCACCATGGGATAACATAGCAAGAAGGCAATTGCCAGATGTGGCCCTTGATCTTGGACTTCTTAACCTCCAGTACTATAAGAAATAATCTGTTCTTTATAAATTATCTAGTCTCAAATATCTTGTTATAACAGCACAACACTGACATAGGTATACAATTATATCATATTTCACTAAAACTTCTATTTTTTAAAATATTTTCCTATTGTCTTACAAGCATAGTCATACACTTAGTTTCTGCTACTGGAACTACACAGCTTTGAACTGGCCCCTTCTGCTAGCCTCCACGCCATCACATGAGGTCTATCTCTCCAGAATGCAGGTCCCCCTGCCCTTTACCAGTTCTGCATGATTAGCTTAGATCCTTACTTCCTCTAAAAAGACAGGGTTGGGTGCTACCATTCTGGGTATCTGAGCACTAGAACACTTTCACAATAATATGCTGAAGGCCTATTTACTGGTGGATGCTCCTCAGCAGATGGAGAGGCCTTTCCTTATACTGCTACCCAAATGTCTAGTTCACAGCCTGGCAGATGTCAAAAAATATTTATCAAATTCATTTGGGATGATAAATATGTTAATTACCCTGATTTGACCATTATATCTTGCATATTTATATCAAAATATCACACTGTATACAATTAATATGAATAATTACATGTTAATTAAAAAGAAAAAAATTAGCAAATGAAGGCAGAAGAGTAGAAGTCATATATAAGACCCCTGTTCCTAGATAAACTGGCTGGACCAGTCTCTAAAACATATCATACAAGCCAGGTATGGTGGTGCACGCATATAATCCAGTGGCTTAGGAGGCTGAGGCAGGAGAATCAAAGCCAGCCTCAGCAATTTAGTGAGGCCCTAAGCAACTCAGCAAGACTCTTGTCTCTAAATAAAATACAAAAAAAGGCTGGGGATGTGGCTTAGTGATTAAGCACCCCAAAGTTCAATGTAAACAATCAAACAAATGGAACACACAAGACTCATGTACACCTTAAGCACTTAAGCAATCTCCTCCACAGCTGGCTACATAGACCACATGATTTCAGGGCACAGAGGAGCATCTTATTTTAGCTCAATGTTACCTTTCTGCTGCCAGGAGGAGCTGGGTCAAATATTCTGGTCTGCATCTCACTGGGAAGAGCAGAGTACACTGGGAGGATAATTAATTCTGGAACATCAGGTCCTAGTGATTTCATTCTTTCATACAGGATTTCACAAGCAGTATCAATCTCTTCCTGACCAGTCAAGAAAACCAAGATATCACCTATGAAGAGAACAGAGCATTAATTTACTTTGTGTGCATTGTTGTTATTGTTATTTTTAAAGTAAAGATAGTCTCCCTAAATTGTCCAGGCAGGCCCTAAACTTCCAGTATCAAACAACCCTCCTGCTTCATCCTCCCGAGTATCTGGAGTCCCAGATATTACAGTGCCTGGCTTGTATGTATTTTACACAAAGGTTATAACAAGGCTAACAGACCTTCAAATGACAGAAAATACACATTCACATTCTGACCTCTAGCTAAACCAAGAAATCATCTTCTACCCATATTTAAATAGGTGCATCTAAACCCAGCACAACACTTTTTTACACTTTGACCACCATCATTTCTTTCTTTCTTATTTTTTTCCCCAATACTAGGAATTGAAACAAGGCCTATACATGCTAGACAAGCACTGAGCCATGCCCCCAGACCTTTATATTTTGAGACAGGGCCTCACCAAGTTGACCAGGCTTGTGATCAAACTTGTGATCCTTCTGCCTCAGCCTCCTGTACAGCTGAGGTGTGTTGCCACTGTGCCTACCTACCACCACCATTTTAAATATGCAATCTTGAGACTTACAGAATCTCCAGAGACCAGTATTTAAAAGGTATTTTTTATCTTAGAGGAAAAAAAAACATTCTTTCTTCTCACCTGGTGGCTCAGTTAAGTGGATCTGCATGACAGTAATCAGGCTCGCATCCAGATAATCTGTCTCAGGTTCCTTTGTGTACAATATTTCCACTGGGTATGTTCGACCTGGGATGGTGAAGATAGGAGCTTCATAGAAGTACTGAGAAAATTTCACTGCATCCAAGGTAGCTGACGTGACAATCAGTTTCATGTCCTGCCGTTTTTGAACTGTCTAAAGGGAAATGCAATGTGGCTTACCAAAAAGACTACCCAAAGGACATAGGTACTCACAGCCTGTTCTCAGAAATCAGTTTTCATTAAGTAAAAGGGTCAGTAAAGACTACCTTTTTCAACAATCCAAAGAGCACATCGGTGTGAATTGTCCTCTCATGTGCCTCGTCCAGCATGATGATTGCATACTGAGTTAGGTCAGGGTCAATCAGGCACTCTCTGAGCAACATACCGTCTGTCATGTATTTGATGACTGTTTCAGGACTGGTGCAGTCCTCAAACCGAATGGTGTAGCCCACCTAAGGCAGAACAGAAGTCGAAAATTTAAGGCATAAACTTCTCCCTTTTGCAATTATCAGACAAGATTTCAAACCAGCCATACTAGCGCTCTTAACTACTAGAAATAGAAAAGAATCTATTTCCTCTAGTAAAATCTGCTTTGGACTTGATCCTGAATAGATCGATGATAACAATGAAAATTTTCCCTCAGGAGAAATCTGAAAAAAGGTAGTATTATTCTCATTTTATAGATAAAAGGTATGGGCCTTTATATTCTTCTTCTTCTGGCATTTCCAGAGTAGCTTCACTAACCACCTACCTCTTGACCTAAGCAACAACCAAACTCCTCCGACACTCTTTTGGCCACAGACATGGCTGCCACTCTTCTGGGCTGAGTACACCCAATCTTGCCCCTGGAAGTGTAGCCTGCCTCTGCCAGGTACTGGGTGATCTGTGTTGTCTTTCCAGACCCTGTCTCTCCAATAACAATCAGGATCTGGTTGTCATGTACAGCCTGAAAGCAGCAGAATTTGAATCAAGTCATTAGAATTTGCCACACATTACACTGGAGTAAAATAATGAAAGCTTATGTTCTAACATTAAACAAGGAAAAGAGACACACATATATAAAGAAGTCAATATATAAAGAATTCAACAGCAAATTTAAAATAATAAAAAGTGTTCTTCCCACCACCACTCCCAAATCTCCAATACCTCACCCTCCAAAATTATCTATTTCATATTTTCACACTATTTGTAAAACCAAAAGACTGTGATCAACCTATATGTCTATAAATACAGTAGTAATTAAATAAGCATATCCACACAAAAAAGCACTAAAAATGTATTTTATAAAAGGAACAATCTGGGCTGGGGTTGCGGCTCAGTGGTTGAGTGCTCACCTAGCATGTGCGAGACCCTGGGTTCAATCCTCAGCAACACATAAAAATAATAGAGGTATTGTGTCCAACTACAACTAAATCCCAGTTATGTGGGATGCTGAGACAGGAGCACTGCAAATTCAAGGTCAGGCTGCGCAACTTAGTAAGATCCTGTCTCAAAGAAATAAAAAGGGTTGAGCTATAACTCAGATGAAGCATGCTTGCCTAGCATGTGTGTAGGCCCTGGGTTCAATCAATCCCCAGTACCACCTTCCAAGTATACACATATATTTATATTTGCTTATACACATGAGATACCATTGAAAGGATTCACTGAAAGCTAGTACACTTGGTTACCTCCAGGAAGGTTTGATGATCTTAAAATTAGAACTCCAGAGATGGAAAGAAGTATCTAAAGAAAGATTTTGCCATGGTTTACTGAGTATACCTATTTTTAATTACTGCCCAGGGCTATTGTTCCATGCGCCATAATACTCCACCTACCAGAACTGATCCAGGGTGCCCAATTAAAAAACAAAGGAAAACAAAGAAATATAGAAAATACACATTTCTTTAAAAAGTATTTGCAAATGTTTAGGTTTTTTTTTCTTATCCCTTTTGAAAGAGCCACTTCAAATATGCACATACTTGTCTAATTACTTCAAATTTTAAAACACCATCCATCCCTCTTAGCAAACACCTCTATTCCCCTATCACCAATACATCATAAAAGCACTTCCCACCTGAACCAGTTGCTCCTTCAGTTTGTAGATGGGCAGGCTCTCCCTCTGCTCAAGGATTGACATCTGGGTCTTTTTTCCATAAGAAGCTTTGTTGCCCCCAAAGGCATGCTTCTTCCACTCTGGAATGTCATTGGGCATCATCCCAATCCCCCTCATATTGGCAGCAATCTGCCTGCCTTCCGCTGTAAAGGAAAACAGGCAAGTGAGTAGCGTCCTCATGTTACCTCAAAGATAAATCAAGGGAATCAACAAAATGGTAGGTCAGCACATGTGTTCTGCCTGATTCTTGACCAACAGTACTCAGAGAAACAAATTAATGTGAAGAAAAGGACAGAGAAGGGGAAACAGGGGATAGGCAAGGGGAAGAGACCCTAATAAGTGGTGCTACAATCTGTGATACCTCCTAAAAGAAAAAAGGAAGGTTAGTTGAGAGAGGTCAGACTTGATTGTTTGATCCTAGGGAAAAAAAAAAAAAAAAAAAATATATATATATATATATATATATTTTAGTAAGTGCTTTATTGAGATATAGTTTATATATGATATCATTCTTTTTTTTTTTTTTTTTTTGGTACTTGGGATGGAACCCAGGAGGACTTAATCACTAAGCCACATCCCCAGTCCCTTTTTTATATTTTATTTAGAGACAAAGTCTCACTTAGTTGCTTAGGGCCTCACTAAATTGCTGAGGCTGGCTTTGAACTTGAGATCCTCCTGCCTCAGCCTCCTCAGCTGCTGGGATTACAGGCATGCGCGCTGTACTGGCTGATATCATTCTTTTCAAGTGACAACTCTGTGGCTTACTGTTTATTCACAAAATTGTGCAACCATCACCACCATCTAATTTTAGAACATTTTTATCACCCCCAAAAGAAATCTCTTTCCCCCATTTTCCCTTCCCTTGGCAACCAATTAGTCTACCTTCTATCTCTTTGGGTTGACTTATTCTGGATATTTCATTGGATATGTGGTGTTTTGTCTAGTTTCTTTCACCTGGCTTAATGTTAACCCCGGAATTTGTGACTTGAATAAGAAGCAAAAGAATCAACAGAATTTTAGTGGCTCTTCAGAGTAAGCAAATATATTATAACTTTGAACGGTAAAAGTATGCTATAACAATGTACTTCAGGGCTGGGGTTGTAGCTCAATGGTAGAGCACTTGCCTTGCACACGTGAGGCCCTGTGTTCGATCTTCAACACCAAATAAAAAAAAGATATTGTGTCCATCTACAGGCACGAGCCTGTAAGCCTAGCAATTTTGGAGACTGAGGAAGGAGCAAGATCCTATCTCAAACTATCTTAAAATAAAATAAAAATTAAAAAGGACTGAGGATGCAGCTCAGTGGTAAAGGACTTGAGTTCAATCCCCATTTATGGGGACACCACCCTCAACACCACACAAACTTCAGTCTACTGAAGCAAATAAAAGAACAATGAAAAAGGACAAATGAGAGTCATGGCACTGAGGCTTATTCTGAGAAGAGAGAGGATTTTTTTAAAAAAAACAAAAGCAATAAATGAATACTCCCAACATTCTAATGTTAACATAATATTTTGGATATCTATTACTTACAGCCAGACTGTTATCCAAACCCAATTCCCAAAACTCTGCCTCCACCCAGATCTCTCTATTATACTTATTATACTTAACAACCTACTTGATACCTCACCTAAAATATCCTCTACTTACCTTAGTTACAAATCTAGAACTGAATTCATAATCTTTCTTCATAAACCTATTTTTCCTCTGTAGCCCCCATTCCCAGAAGTACCATCACTCAACCCAAAAGTCATCATTGCCCACTTCTATTTTCCTTTCCCTCAGTCAACAAATCACATTTTTCAAGCACATTCTACCTGTCTGCTACTTCTGTGTTCAAGCCACTATTCTCTTTCCTCTTAAAGCTTTCTTATTCACCTCACATTTTACTTTGCTCAGTAACTCAGTCTTTAGGGTACCCTGAATGACCCTCTGATCATGCCATTCCCCCATTTAGTATATTTTCATGCTGAACACTTTTCAACACTTCCCAGTGCACTTAGAATTAAACTCAGATTCCTAATGCCGTCCATAAAGCCCTGGCCTGCCAATTCTGCCTYAACTCCTGGCCCTCACTCACTATTCTCCAGCTACACAAACTTCCTATAAGGTCCTCTACTAACCCCACAGCGCCAGCTATTCCTCTACTTCAAACACATTCCCAACGCCCTCTGATAAACTAGGTTCTATTTATCCTTCATATCTCAACTTCCCCAGTGACATGACACCCCCACTAGCCAATTATGCTACCTGTACTTCTTCAGAGAGCACTGACCAGAATATAATTAGTTAGTTAGTTATTTGATAGTTATTTGGTTAATGTCCATCTCTCCTGCCTCTAAGAGCAAGGATCATGTCTATGTAATTCACAGTTGTATCCTCAATTGCCTAATGCAAATTAATAAGAATCTGTTATGACATGTCCAGTAATTAGCTAATATTTACTGCACAAAGAAGTATATGGTACTGGGGATTAAACTCAGGGGCACTCTACCATTAAGTTGCACCCCCAGTTCTTTTTTACTTTTCATTTGAGATAGGGTCTCACTAAGTTACCCAGGCTGGCCTAAACTTGTTATCCTCCTACCTCAGCCTTCCAAGTAGCTAGGATCATAGGCATGCCACTGCAAAAAGGAAAGTTGAAAGTTGGTTTTCGCTAGGCATGGTATAATCCCAGCAACTTGGGAGGCTTAGGAAGGAGGATCTCAAATTTGAGGCCAGCCTCAGCAACTTAGCAAGGCCCTAAGCAACTTAGTCATGCCCTGTCTCAAAAGAAAAAGAAAAACAAAAAGAGCTGGGGATATGGCTCATTGGTTAAAAACCCCTGGGTTCAATCCTAATACCAAAATAAATAAGTAAAAAGTTGCAATATTTTTAGAACAAAACTTTTAAAATATTTAGGATAGGGCTGGGGATGTGGCTCAAGCGGTAGTGCGCTCGCCTGGCATGCGTGCGACCCGGGTTCGATCCTCAGCACCACATACCAACAAAGATGTTGTGTCCGCCGAGAACTAAAAAATAAATATTAAAAATTCTCTCTCTCTCCTCTCTCAATCTCTCTTTAAAAAAAAWAAATAAATAAATAAATAAATAAAATATTTAGGATAAACAACCAGCCAATCTAATTATCTGATCAGAGTTATTAAAACATTTTAAATATTTGTTTCAAAAAAAAAAAAAAACATATACCTAGAGTCAGCAACTTGGGAGGCTGAGACAGGAGAATTGCAAGTTTAAGGCCAGCCTCAGCAACTCAGCAAGCCCCCGTCTTAATATAAAAAGGGATGGGGATGTAGATGAAGTGGTAAAGTGCTCCTCGGTTCAATCCTCAATACCAAAAAAAAAAAAAAAAAGCCAAGAAAACAAACATTCTCTAATGGAAGGGGAAAAATGAGGCTAAATTTTCAATGTGTCCTGGCAGTGCCTTCTATGTGTATATGTAAAGGCTCAGATTTTTAAAAAAGGTATAGCCCCTCCAAGGGTCCTACCATCAGGCAGAGGATCAACCCAGTGTTTATTGAGTCCCATGGGAATAGAATCCATCTCAGCTTCACGCTGGGCCTGCTTGAGTTCCCGCCTTTCCTTGGCCAAGGCACTCTGCATCATGGCTGCTTGGGAGAGGGAGCCATCTGGGTTCTAAAGCAACACAAGAAAAAGCAACATGCATTAAATGCCTGGGAAATAAAATGCAGACGTTAAGACACTGTAATCTAAAACATGAGACCACAGCTAGAATAAAATTCTAGACTACATAAAATAAATGGATAAACTGCAGCACAGGGGGATAAAATTTTAAAAATCACTCAAAGAATTGGGATTTTTAGCTTGATGATGAGAACCCCAAAAGAGTTAAGAACAGTGCAACCTCTAAATGTATGAAGGATATAAAAAAGAGACAGAAAATAATTCTTGTATGACCATAAGAACAATCGGAACCATCCAAAGATGAAATATGCTTCCTTAAGGGATGGTCAATTCCCTGTCACTAATGTCAAGCAATTATGAGAAAATCACATGGGAGGAACAATAYAGAAGAGTTACATAAGTGGATTGTAAGTATTACATGGGTATTTTTTCCCCACACCTAAAAGTTTTTAACAGTTCTATGGATTCTGGTTTGCATTCTCCTCATGGCTCTGCCCTCCAACACCCAGGCTATAGCTTATTAAGGGGACAAGACAAAACTGACCAAATGACCCCTTGAAAACTGCATTTGAGCCAGACTGGATAGGGCATGCCTGTAATCCCAGCAGCTGGCGAGGCTGAGGCAGGAGAATCATGAGTTCAAAGCCAGCCTCAGCAAAAGCGAGATGCTAAGCAACTTAGTGAGACCCTGTCTCTAAATATAATACAAAATAGGGCTGGGGATGAGGTTCTGTGGTCGAGTGCCCTGAGTTCAGTCCCTGGTACCAAAAAAAAAAAAAAAGAAAAAGAAAATTGCATTTGAATCTGCAAGATAATGACTTGATTAAGCCCTAAGGAATCTAGGCAAAGGCAATGAGAGTAGATCCATACTCTCATTTATCTCTGTTTCTTCCCAAAATGAGTTCAAACAAAAACTAAAAGAGCAAAAGCAACAGAGCCCAGCCAATCTCCATTTAAAACAAAAATATTCTAGACTTTGCCTAACAGTAAGTAATATCTTAAGTGGCCTGAGTTCTGCTTACACAGCTCTGATAATCTGACCTATTCCTTTAAGAAGTCTATGGGACATTTCCAGGTTGAAGTCCCAGCACTTCTTACCTTAACGATTTTAATGGGGCTCATATCCATGCTTTGCTTGGTGTGCCCTCTCAGGAATGGAGGCTCTTCCTCAACCAGTTCGATCTCAAGGTCCTCATCTAAAAGTACCCAGAAAAGAATTAGTCATAAACAAATAAGAGAAATGAACAATTATTTTCACCCAAACAATTAATTTCTATTAGCACCATAATAAAAAATAGTTTCCAAGGTCAAAAAGACGGCAATGCAAGTGAAACTAGCCCAGGTGTCTATTCCTCCCCCTTGAAAACTCCCCAGCCATTTCTGGGGCATTTGTGCTCCAGCCCAAGAACTGATCAAAGTTGCTTTCAAAAGAAGCTAGGCCACATTAGGTATGGTGGCCACACCTGTAATTCTAGCAACTAGGGCAGAGGGATCATAAGTTTGAGGCTGGCCTCAGGAATTTAGCAAGACCCTGTCTCAAAAGAAAAAAATAAAAAGGGATAGGGATGTAACTCAGCAGTAAAGTACTCTGGGTTCAATCCCAATTACCACAAAAACATAACAAAAAAAAAATGAAATAAGCAAAATCAACAAAAAAACTAAGCCTGTGCAAATATATGTTTTGCTATTTTAACTGGTATTAAGAGGGACTGGGGGTGTAGCTCAGTGGTAAAGTGCCTTTGGACTCAATCCCCAGTTAAAAAAAGAAATGTAAAATGGGTAAATTTATATAATGCTTTACAGCAATGAAAATATGAAATGCAACTATAAATAGGAACAAGAATAAATAGTAAAAATACGAGAGTCACAAAAAGAAAAAGGAAACCAAGGGGTGTAGCTCCAGTGGTAGAGTGCATGCCTAGCACACACAAGTACACAAGGCCTTGGTTTTAATCCTCAGCATTGCAAAAAAAAAAATCAAAATCCACAAATGAACTAAGTTAAAAAACAGACTAACTATACAACATTTAGGGATAGATATTTAGATGAAAAAACAGTAAGGAAAATTAAGTGAATGACTGATGYAAAATTTAGGATGGCAGTTACCCCTAGGAGGAAAGAGTAAGATTTAATCAGAGGAGGGCATAAAAGGACTTCAAAGGTGCAGGTAGTTTTCTACTTCTTCAACTGGGCAGTGAGTACACAAGAGTTCAATTATTATTATTATACTAGTTACATATGCTCCATTACAGGATTTATTTCACAATTTAAAAAATTACTAATAGGTTGAATTAATAGTTGTTACTAGGGCAACTCAGAATAATCTAAGTAGATCCAGGGATTTCAGAATAATTACTAAGATTATGAGATCAAATTTATTCCCCAAAATATAACTTTATAACTTTATTTTTAAATATTTTTAGTTGTAGATGAACACAATAGTTTTTATTTTTTATTTAAAAAAAAAATTTTTTTTTGGTACCGGGGATTGAACTCAGGGGCACTCAACCACTGAGCCACAACCCCAGGCATATTTTGCATACTTATTTATTTAGTTAGTTGGTTAGTTGTAGATGGACACACGGTATCTTTATTTATTTTTATAAATAAAAATGGTAGGGCTGAGGATCAAATCCAGTGCCTCACACATGCAAAGCAAGCACTTTACCACTGAGCTACAGCCCCAGCCCCCTATTTAGAGACAGGATATCACTAAGTTGTTTAGTGCCTCATCATTGCTGACGCTGGCTTTGAACTCTCGATCCTCCTGTCTCAGTCTCCCCAGCCATGGGATTGCAGGTGTGCACCACCATGCCCAGCAATACCTTTATTTTATGTATTTATTTTTATGCGGTGCTGAGGATTAAACCCAATGCCTCACATGTGCTAGGCAAGTGCTCTGCCACTGAGCTACAACCCCAGTCCCTCTAAAATGAGAACCTATTACAAGCAACCAGCATAATATATAAACACTTTTTTTCTTTTTTGCAGTGCTGGGGATTGAATTCAGAGCCTCATGCATGCAAGACAAGTGCTCCACCACTAAGCTACATCCCCAGCCCAATAAAATGAATACTTGACAGGCAAATGACCTTCTTGCTTATATCAAGAGATGAGTGGTGAGATCCAAGGAACAAATGATTTACAACCACTAGGTTAAACTATAGACAGCCCAGTCTAATGACTCAATTTGCCATTATCCTCCCAATCCAATATCCTGGTCAACCCAAGTGGCTAGTTACCTTCTTCATCATCCACCTTAGGGAGAATGCCAGTCTCTTCATCAAAGTCTGGAAACTCTTCTTTGGAAAGAACATTGGCAGCAATCATCTAGCCAAAGGACAGAGGCAGCATTTGTAATATGTCAGAATCAAAACTCTTTTCCAGCAGTTAATTACAGAGGTTTCATGCAGGAAACCACGGGTATTTTTTCCTCCTCTGACCCACAATGTCAGAGCCTATAATGTCACATATCCCATCCCTGGGGAGCACTACGACAAGGTGCTGAAAAGCATCAGCTCCAAGGTATTATCCCTAGGAAGAATTACCTGTCCCTTCCCTTATTTCCATAGTACTCTTTATATTTCTTATTCTTATATATTCTTATTCTTACGTGACATGTAACCCTTCACAAGTGTTTGTTTAGCTCTGTCTCCTCCACTGGACTTTGAGCTCAAGGGTAGGAATCATGAAATTTTTGTCTTTGTAGCCCCAGCACTAAACAGAGCCTGACACATCATAGTTCTAATGTTTACTGAAGAATGATGAAAACAATAACAAAGACTTATATAGCAATTGCCATGTGCCAGGCACGAACCTAAGAGTTTCAACTCTATTCATCTGTTTAATTCCCACAACACCATCATTAGACCTGTTTTACAAATGAGGGCATTGAGTCACAAAAAGGAACAAGAACTTGACTCAGGATCACAAACTAGTAAGTGGCCAAAAGTCACCCCAGGCCATCATACTCCAGGGTCCCCACTCCTAACCACCACTCTACATAATAGATGACTGTAGCCATGAAAGTTAATAGCCCCAACCTGTTTGATCTCCCACTTCTCTGGATCAGAGATGCGGGTGAGGCGCTTGCGCTCCAGTGAGTCATCCTCTACTTCAGGGGCACTGACAAGGGAAAGGTGAGTGGGTCTATCTGGATTCCGCATTGAGGTCTCTTCATTGGTCTCCCCAACCAAATTTCGACGTCGATTTGGGTTTAGATCTTCTCCAGTCTCTTGATCTACATCCTAGGGCAGAGAAACAAGGGTGTTATCTCACTTGCTGTCTCACACACCCTTAGTCATCAAATGTAGAAATAGGCTGGACATCTCACCTACCTTCATGCTCAGGCTGGTCTTGGTCCCTGTGAAGGACAGCACTTTGACCTTGACCCTCTGGCCTTTGCTCACCACATCAGCCACATTGGCCACACGGCCTTCCCGCCGGAGCTCAGAGATGTGCACCAGGCCTTCCCATCGCTTCCTAAGAGAGAATCAGACACATCTGGAGCATGCCAAAAAACACCTTTTCCCCAAGCAATTCCAACCCTTACTGGAGATAAACAAACAAATATCTCTTAAGCTCATGAGATAAGTACCAAGAAGGTGGTATTACCACCTTTCTAAAGAAGATACTGAATAATGGGGAAGAAAGAGGGACAAATTCTCATTTGTCCTAAGAAGCAAAGGGCAGATCTACTGAAGGCAGAGGAAGAAATAAATGTCTCTGAAGCATTTCATTTAAAAAGTCAAAGTTAGCTGGGCATAGAGGCTCATACTTGTAATCCCAGAAGCTTAGGAGTCTGAGACAGGAGAATCACAAGGTCGAGGCCAACCACAGCAACTTAGCAAGGCCCTAAGCAATTATTTATTTATTTATTTACTTTTAGTTTTAGTTATAGGTGGATGCAATATCTTTATTTTATTTTTATGTGGTGCTGAGGATTGAACCCAGTACCTCATGGATGGTAGGCAAACATTCTACCTCTGAGCCACAACTCTAGCCAGAGGCCTTAAGCAATTTAGTGAGACCCTGTTTCAAAATAAAAAAGTAAAAAGGGCTGGGGATATAGCTCAGTGGTAAAATACCCCTGGATTAAAAAAAGAAAAAAAGTCAAGGGCTAGGGATATAGCTCAGTGGTAGAGTACTTGTCTAACATACATGAGGTTCTGGTTTCAAACCCCAGCACACAAAACAAACAGAAAAGTTAATTTCTAAGAACCAGGAATAGCTGATTTGATTAATATGTCATTGATCATAACTTTTTAGAATGTGAAAACTGCCAGTAATAATAACATTCTGCCCTCATTTTGAAAGAACACCAACATCACCTTAGTCCCTCCAGCTGCACAAAGCATCCAAATTGCATGATGCTGGTAACTTTGCCATTGTATATGTCCCCGATGGCAGGTTCTTCAGGGGGTGGGCGGTCCACATGTTTATCCCGCCATCTGTCCAGATTTCTCTCCCCATACTTGTCACGGTCCTTCCTGTCTTTGGGGGGACTCTGACTTCTACTCCTGGACCGATATCTAGACTTTCCTTTATTCCTCTCCCGGGTCCTAGAATGTGATCGAGAACGGGATCGATGTCTCCGCTTGTGGTCTCTGTCTCGCTCTCTATCTCGTTCTCTGTCACGATCACGGTCACGGTCTCGGCTTCGACTWCGCTTCTTCTTTTTTGTCCTGTCCCTAATAAATCAACAAGTACCTGTTTGAAAAAGAAATCAGCCCAATTTCATCTTTGCATCCCTAAGCACCCAGTACAGTGCCATGCACATGGTAAACACAGCTAAGTGCTAAAATGAATTAAGCATTTCAATGATTATGACATCACTGTAGGCCAATAATGGATCATGGCACAAACCTTTAGTCTTTCAACCCCAATTTCTACCTTCTGAACATCTTAGCATTTAATGCATAAATACACTTGGCAGTGAGCAATGAAAAGAGATCCAAGACTAGGATACATGACCAGTTCAGATTCTGTAAATTTGCCTTAAATTTTGCTTGACTGGTCCACAAGATACAATTATCACAGTATTCAAAACTTCCAAAGAAAAGGACACTAAAGACAAACCGGTGCTCAGTATCTCTTTGCTTCTCCTGGCCTGCTGCACTGGGCATTAAAGCTTCCAGTTCTTTTAARACATCCACAGCAACCTTCACGTCATCCTCATCCAGCATGGTCTGCAGGGACAAAGGCCAGCAAAGTTAGGAGGAGAGGGAAAACAAACTACTCAAGAATCAGTATGTATTTCAGCTATATCTACAAATCTGACCACCCTCCATATCACTAAAAACCTATGTGAAGGAAGCAGAGGGGACACAGATTTTTAAAGTGATTAGAGACAACCAGAAGGAATGGGCAAAGGTTCTTGAGCATCATATCTACATGTACTAAATCCCATTTGACCTTAATACAATCCTAACGAAGGCAATTATATATTAATCACCTCTCTCATGAATGCATGCAAGTAATAATTACAACTAGAATTCAGATATTAAAATTTATAAAAAGCAACTATCCCAAAGCACTCCCCAACTTCCTCCCAATTTATTATTTTCCATAGCTCTGTCTCAAAAGAAAAAAGGGCAAGGAGGGGAAGTTGGGGATATGGTAGAGAACTCCTGGGTTCAATCCCCAGCACACACACACAGAATAGTAGTAACAATTTATATAGCATTTACGTTGTATTAGGTAATACAGAAATGATTTAAAGTATATGGAAGGCCAGGCTTAGTGGCACACACCTGTAATCCCAGACTCAGGAGGCTGAGGTAGGTTTGAGAACAGCCTCGAAACTTAGAGAGGCCCTGTCTCAAAATTAAAAGCATAAAAAGGGCCAGGGATGTAGCTCAGTGGTAAAAAGCACCCCTGGATTCAAATCCTTGTATCAAAACAAAACCAAAACCAAAACCAAAAAATAAACCATAAAGTATACAAAAGGATGTAATTTATACAAATACTACAAACTTATTTATCTTTTTTGTGGGACAATTATGCTTATTTATTATCTGTCTCTTCCCCCACTAGATTACTTATATGTTAATTTCTAGCTCTTCACCCAACACTAGGGTATAATCTGCAAAAAGGCAGACATGCTTATCTGTTCTCTTCACTGTTTTTTACCTTGTACTTAGAACAGTGCTTGGCATACAGTAAGTACTCAATAGATAATTAGCTAAAATGAATTTTATTTTATTTTATTTTATTTTTTTAAAGAGAGAGTAAGAGAGGGGAGAGAGACAGAGAGAATTTTTTTAATATTTATTTTTTAGTTCTTGGCGGACACAACATCTTTGTTGGTATGTGGTGCTGAGGATCGAACCCGGGCCGCACGCATGCCAGGTGAGCGCGCTACCGCTTGAGCCACATCCCCAGCCCCTAAAATGAATTTTAAAAACCAAATTACCTTAAAAAAATTGCTCCTCTAGCAAGTAATGGAACAAAAGTCTAATTTCACCCATCAGTCACCTATTTCAGAACCTTATCATTTCATGTGTACTTTATATCTGAATCACTGCTTCCCAAAATTCCCAAGCTCACTTCTTTTAAATATCATTCTCTGAACCCTTCAACACTATTCGATACATAGAACATGATCAGGGAGTGATGGCATATTTTCATTTTGAGAAACATGGAACAACAAAGGTAAACAATTATTAAAATTACTAAAAAAATTATAAAATTACTAATGATACAAAGAAGAGGAATGGAAGACATTTATAGCAGACATTTTCAAAATGGGTCCGTACCCGAACGGAAGGGTTGTCTGGCTGGCAAAGGACTGGGAAAAGTTCCTTCAGCTTTTCTTTTTCGGTTTTTGGCTTAACAACTGGATCTTAATTCATTGAAGAACAAGAAAGAATTAAAGAGAAAAAAAAAGATATATTTAACGTTATTAAATATTACAGATTACAAAGTTAATTCAATATTAGATTTGAATTAACCTGAAAAAGAACGTGGAACTTTGCTACACATAACCATAGAGTTATTATATATACAATTTAATTTTCTAAACACATTAACTTCAAAACCTCAACAAACTCTGGACATATAGAGGGGGAGTACATCAGTACTCATTTGATTATGTCGTATAATTTTAATTTTGTTTTAAATCATTTGAAAAATTCTTATGAACATTTACTTGCTCAGCAGCTACACAGACAAAAATAAAAACAATTTAGAAGGTGCTCACAATCTAAACCTTTCTGGAGGCTAAGTTCAGTTGGAAGTTTTGCTCACCTTTGCTAGCAGAAGGCTTTGCTGGAGGTCGCATGGTTTGTATGAGACGCAGAAGGTTACTAATAAGAGAATCCTTTGAAAAAAATACAGGAGAAAAATTGTCAAACCCTCAATCAGTGATTAAACATACTTAGAAAAGTAAGGGATCAGGGGCTGAAGTTGTGGCTCAGTCGTAGAGCACTTGCCTAACACGTGTGAGGCACTGGGTTTGATCTTCAGCACCACATAAAAATAATAAATAAAATAAATAAAGGTATTGTGTCCACCTACAACTGAAAAGAAATATTAAAAAAAAAAGAAAGAAAGAAAAGTAAGGGGGCTGGGATTATGGCTCAGCGGTAGAGTGCTTGCCTAGCATGTGTGAGGCACTGGGTTCAATCCTCAGCACCACATAAAAATACATAAATAAAATAAAAGTATTATGTCCAACTACAACTAAAAAAAAAATTTAAAAAAAAAAAAAGAGCTGGGATTGTGGCTCAGCGGTAAAGTGCTCACCTAGCACGCGCAGGACCCAGGTTCAATTCTCAGCACCACATAAAAATAAAGGTATTGCATTGTGTCCATATACACCTAAAAAATAAATATAGGGGGCTGGGGCTGTAGCTCAGTGGTAGAGCGCTTGCCTTGCACTCATGAAGCTCTGGGTTCAATCCCCACACCACATAAAAATGAATAAGTAAAGAAAAATAAAGATACTATGTTCCATCTATAACTAAAAAAAAAAAAAAAGTAAGGGTTCAGGTATGGCACAGACATGTAATCCCAGCTACTCAGGGGGTTGAGTAAGAAAGAGCACAAGTTCAAGACCAGCCTCCACAACTTAGTGAGATCCTGTCTCAAAATAAACAGGACTGTGGATATAGCTCAGTGATGTAATCCTCAGGAAAGAATGAGAGGGAGGGAGGAAAGAAGGAAGAGCTGGGCGCAGTGGTGCACACCTATAATCCCAGCAGCTCAGGAGGCTGAGACAGAAGGATTGTGAGTTCAAAGCCAGTCTCAGCAAAAGCAAGGTGCTAAGCAACTCAGTGAGACCAGGTCTGGGGATGTGGCTCAGTGGTCGAGTGCCCCTGAGTTCAATCCCCAGTACCAAAAAAAAAAAAAAAAAAAAGAATGTGAGGGATAATTACGCACTTGAATTTAGCTAATGGAACAAATGAACACAAAATTCAACCTGGTACAACATGAAGCTAGAAATAGCAGCTTTAGAGAATGCTAATTTTACAAATCCTTAGTGGAAAAGTTATTTAGTTCCCTTCAACCATTTTATTTCCTATTCTTTAGCATCACCTCTAAAACCTAGATTCTTGTTTCAGACTTTCTGATTCACAGAACAAGAATGTAAACATCCAAAAATATTTAATGATGGAAATCATAATGCAATTTCCTAGAAAAGAGGCACAGGAAATCCAGCTTCATCACCACTGCTTCATGGCATGAAAACATTGCACATTAAATGGCTTATTTAATAGGCATATACAAACTGCCTCCTTCCTACATCCAAATCCTACCATTAAATCCTCCCAAAATTTAAACTCAATAATGATATCAAAACAAAAAAATAGTCTTCAAATATACATACTGTGAATTCTGCACCATTTTTGACCAACGAAGTCTTAAAAGTATCAAAGGTAGTATTTTTCTCAGCAAGGCTGATCACAAATTCAGCTGCAAATGAGAAAAAGAATTAAGAATAGAAACTTGAGCAAGAAATTAGTTTTAAGTACAGTGAAAAAAAAAACTAATCAGGTTATCCAATAGTCATAAAAGCCAAAGACTATCATCTAGTGAAGGTAAAGAAAGAAAATTTAGATGGCTGAGATTATCCATATATGTTCTAGTCAATTTTTTATAAATGAAAACATTATTTAAAAACAGCTCAATCAAGTCCTTGAGTGCATTTAAATTAGGAAGACCTATTTGCCCAGACTGTCATACCCTCTACTCACAAAACTATCAGCTATGGCATAGTGCAGTGGTGCATGTCTATAATCCCATCAATTTAGGAGGCTAAGATGGGAGGTTCACAAGTTCAAGGGCAGCCTCTACAACTTAGTGAGATCCTGTTTCAAATTAAAAAATAAAAAGGGCTAGTGATATAGCTCAATGGTAGAGTGCTCCTGAGTTCAATCCCCAGTACCACAAAAACAAAACAAAACTATCAGCTATGCACATTGCCACATAGACTCTAAAGGTGAAAATGTACAAAAGCATGAGCCCATGCATATACACACAGACACACACAGAATGCTTTCTATGGTTTCTAGAAGGTCCGACCCAATCTATATGTAAAAGTCAGGCAGATACTGGATGATATAATTTCCAAGTTGATGAAAGACTTAATGGTTCCCAAAATTGTCTCCTCAAACATGCTTAGTTCTTAAAACTTCTAATAGTAGCCATGCATAGTGACACATGCCTATAATCCCAGTGACTCCGGAGGCTGAGGCAGGAGGACAACAAGTCCAAGGCTAGCCTCACTCTTCAACTTAGCAAGCCCTCAGCAACTTAGTGAATCCTTGTCTAAAAACAAAAAGTAAAAAGGGCTAGGGATGTAAAGCACCCTTGGGTTCAATCTCCAGTACCAAAAAAAAAAAAAAAAAAAAAAAAGAACAAAAATACTTCTAATATTACAGCAATTTATTCACAAAGAGACTTTCAGAAAAGAAGCACATTATAACATAGGCTGAGATAATAAACCTCACACTGTGAGTTCCACAAGAAATTACTAATGATTATTTTCTTGAATGCTAATCCTAAAATAAATAAATAAATAAATAGATAAACAGATAAATAAATAAATAAATGGAAGATCTGGTTGACTGGTATTACCACACCATTTCCATGGTAGAATTTGCCTTTTTTTTTTTTTTGTAATGATACTAAGCATAATGCTTATGCATAATAACAAACTAAGAGCATAGGATGGCACATGCCTATAATCCCAACTACTTGGGAGGCTGAGGGAGAAATCTGAGGCCAGCCTGAACAACTCAGTGTGAGGACCCTGTCTCAAAAAAAAAAAGGACTGGGGATGCAGCTTAGTGATAGAGCACTTGCCTAGCATATGTGAGCCCCTGGATTCGATCCCCAGTAGCCCCTCCACGCACACACAAAGTTAATAACAACAATGCTAATGGTTAACACTTTTTGAACATTATTATCTGCAGAGCACTAAACTAAGGGTTTTATATGGGTTATCCCCAAGACCCTCACAACAATTCTCATTAGTAGGTACTGTTATTGTCCTATTTTATAGTGTTTGAGACACCATCTTTCCCAATAATAATTGGTGGAGACAAGATTGGAACCCACGCAATCTGATTTCAGCAACATTCTTTAGAGAAAGGCGAAGGGACAATTAAGTCATTTGGTGCCCAGTATTCCATACTCAAAGGATCCCAAAGCAAGCAGCAATATATTCAGACTGCCAGCATTATGCTGATACTCAAAAAAAGTGTCAGATTTTGTGTTTTTGGGTTAGGGATTCTTGATTTGTATAAGATAGGCACATCTTGACTGAAAGGCCAAGAAAAAAAATGAACTAAAATGAACTGGCTTCAGGGCATCTTCCAAGGTGCTATATAGTAACCCTGTGAAGAAATATTATCATCCCACTTAACAGTTGAGAAAAACAGCTTCTGAGAAACTAAGTATCTTATCCAAGGTCAGGAATCTAACCTCCTTGACACCCCGCCACCCCCTTTCTTGGTAATGCTGGGGATCAAACCCAGAGCCTCACACACCCTCTAGCACTGAAATATTGTATCTCCAGCCATCTTATCACATGCCCCTTCCCACCATTCCTCCATCTGGTAATTTCGCTACATTTTCATTTTAAAAGCAAATGGCACTCTCTCACTCATCTTCCTACCATCAATCTCTAAAGTTAGTTACATCTATGGTCATATTCTCCTGTTACAATAGCTGAAACATCCTTGTACCATCAAAAGCAATTCTGTCACTTATACCCTTGATTTCTACCCATCCTTATTCACCTCCATCTGCCTATGACCTTTTAGCTGTAGGTCGGTGGCCTTTTCTAATTTTTTAGTTTGGATGTAGTCTGCCCCCAAACGCCTAAAGGACGGCTATCTGAGATATGGTAAAGCACAGAGCTCAAAGGATACTATCTAAAAGAGTGACGAGAACAGCGGCTTAGGAGGCTGAAGCAGGAGCATACCCAGTTCAAAGCCAGCCTCAGCAATTTAGAAAGGCCCTGAGAAATTTGGAGACCCTGTCTCAAAATGAAAAATTTAAAAAAAAAAAAAAAGGGTGGGGGGGCTCAGGAGTGGCTCAGTGGTTAAGATCCCTTGGATTCAACTGCCGGTACCAAAAAAAAAAAAAAAAAAAGTGAGTGAAGACCAAATAGAATAATATAAATAAAGAATTGACCATACTATCTGACACAGTGAACACTCGGTAAATGTCAATGAGGCGGCGGCTGCTGCTGTTGTTTAATAACTTGGGACGGGGGTATCAAGCAGAGATGGCAGCCCCAGGCTTCACTGACAGCTTTGGAAAATGGTTTCTAATAAAATGAAGGGACCGAGGGAGAGGGGACCTCTCGAGCAGAAGCCACCGCCACAGATTCTCTGGGTCCAAATCTGTGACAGATCGACACGAACACACACAGTCGGCCCATCAATCACCCGGCTTCTTCCTTCCTTAACCTCATCCCTGAGGCCGCTGAGACCTCCTCAAGCTTACCTAGGTCCTTGTCGTTGATCCCCAAGTGGTTATCCAGCTCGGTGCAAACCTTCGACACCAAAGACAGATACTCAAGTTTGGCGAGTTCTTCCGCGGGGCCTGGCTCCGAGGCGATAAAGACTCCCGCCGCGGCCACAGCCACAGCCATGGCTGCAGCTTCCTTTCTGCCTTCTTCCGGTCGGCCGGCGCTGGAAGCCACTCAGGTCAGGCTCCAGTTTTCACTTCCGGGTTGGAGCAGGTCTCTTTTGTTTACTGTAAATTGAAAACTTTAGGAACTTCGCCCGTCGCAACAGGATGGATCATAGAGATCAGACAGGAAGTCCTTAAGGAAGGAACTCCAAGAGTGGGCCTACTCAGCGCGACAAAGGGCGCCCTCTATAGGCGAGATAAATCCACCCTCAGGCCCGGAAATGTTAGCTCTCCGCAAGTTGCCACACGCGTCAGCAGAGGGCGACCATGGACTACTCAAGGGGCGCCGGAAGACGGTGGCTAACCTCCCGCGCCTGCGCTTTAGAAACCTTGAAAAAGGAACCCAAACAAAAGTCTGGAAAAGCCCTGCTCACTTGTCGGTAGATGGGAATAGTCCAGGGCCTCTTCTCTTCGTGTATTCTCACGCTCGATTTCAAGCAATTCAAACCAGCAGACGATGGATTCTGGTTCTGTTAATAACTCCTCAGTTTACAGATGAGATGAGGAGAGTGGCATTTCTCCAACTGGGTGGCCTTGACCAAATTAACTGTCTGGAGCCTTAGTTTTCTCATCTGCAAACTGGGATAGTGTTCCTCTTACTGGGTTTAGGTGAAGACTAAATGAAATGACTATCTAAGGAGCCTGACGCACAGTAGGCATGCACGACAAATAGCAATGATTCTTGTATCCCAAGGCAGAGACAGTGGTCCCATTGAAGCCTGTCAAACACATGCCCCCTCCCCCAGTCTGAGACCCCACAAAGCCACCTCCCTCCTTTCTTGTGAAATTTAACCCTCAGTTTTCCTGTTGCCAATATCCTTAGTGCCCTCAGAACTTGTTCTCCCCCAATATAAGTTGTGCTGCGCACCTGTTGTCATACACTTAGTTCTCTCAACTTCAGTTTTCTTTTCCCCTCTGGCAGCCCTAAAGTCAGGTGAGTATTTCTTGTGTGACAAGGAGGGAGATGGAGGCACTCCAAAGTGAATAGCCCTCCCATTAATCAAAAGGAAGAAAATCAGCCCCTTCTGCTTTTTTGCTTTGGCTACTTGACACGGATGATCTATGCACTCTTTCTTCAGCGTCTCAGCATCTCCCCACAGATTAAAGAATTGCAGGCAGGTGGAGAAAACCAAAATAGTGCACTGCCTCAAAAGGATTCTTGTTTCCAGATTCCTAAGGAATCAATACTGACACTCGAGGCTTTTGAGTCTTCTCCATTTTCTCTTCCTCCTTTTCCCCATGAATGGAATAGAAAATCCTGCACTTGGGGCTGAGGTTGTGGCTCAGTGGTAGAGTGCTCGCCTAGCATGCACGAGCACTGGTTTTGATCCTTAGCACTATATAAATGTAAAATAAAGATATTGTGTCTACCTAAAACTAAAAAATAAATATTAAAAAAAAAAAAAAGAAAATCCTGCACTTGATTCAAAGTGGTCAACTTGCCCGCTTGGAGTTGGGATTTCAGGGGCTTCTTCCACTTGATTTCCTTTCCAGTGCCTGTTTGCCTTTAAAAGTTGAYATTTCTATTCTGTTTTACTCTGACATGTAATAGGAAAAGGGAACAGATTATGGAGTTTGTTCTAAAATCTATGTCAGAAAAGGGATTAAAGATGTAGAAATAGCAGTAAATATTTGTAAGAGCTTTTGGGGGGAGGGAGGGAAGGATTGAATGCAGGGCCCCTTGCATGGTAGGCAAGTGCTCTAGTACTGAGTTCCATCTCCAGCCCTTTTTATTTTGTGATGTGGTCTTCAGTAAGTTGCTCAGACTGGCCTCAAATTTGTGATCCTCCTGCCTCAGCCTCTTGAGTAGCTGGAATTATACACTTGTGCTACTGTACCTGGTTCTGTAAGAATTTTTTTAAATTTGGAATTATTGAACATGTTTCAAGAGTAAATATTAACAATATTTATTAAATTTTATTTATATAATGCCATTAACTGCATATTTTCAGAAGTGACAGTTTTATTCAGTATCACATATTTCCTGTACTACCATGGAATTTTTTAATCAAGGGAAAGCAAGTAAATAAACAGATAAAAATAATAACTTGACAGCCTAAACAGAGGCACATGGAATCTTCCTATGCACTCTCCTTATAAGAGACATAGAACCATACGTAGTTAAATAGTGAATATAGTGGGGCTGGGGTTGTGGCTCAGTGGTAGAGCGCTTGCTTGGCATGTGTGAGCCACTGGGTTTGATTCTCAGCACCACATATAAATACATAAATAAGTAAATAAATAAAGGTCCCCCGACAACTAAAAAAAATTTTTTTTAAAGAGTGAATACAGGGTTGGGGGTATAGCTCAGTGATAGACTTTATGCTTAGCCTGGGAAAGGCCCTGGGTTCAATTCCCGGCATGAAAGAAAAGGTAAGGGGAACATTTTAACTGTCTTTGAATACAATATATATTTTTAGTATAATCAGACAATTGTTCACTACATTATTATTTGGGGGGGGGGTAACCACATCTCCAGCCCTATTTTGTATTTTTATTTACCGACAGGGTCTCACTGAGTTGCTCAGTGCCTTGCTTTGCTGTGGCTGGCTTTGAACTCAAGATCCTCCTGCCTCAGCCTCCTCAGCTGCTGGGATATAGGCCGTGCACCACCACACCTGGCAGTTTACTATATTATTATTGTAAAGCCTTCCTTAGATAGTCTCCATGTGGCTCTTTAACACAGACATTGATAGTTCTTAATAAATAATTTACCTCTGCAAAAAATACTAAAACAGGGCTGGGATTGTGGCTCAGCAGTAGAGCGCTCGCCTAGCATGGGAAGGACCCGGGTTCGATCCTCAGCACCACATAAAAATAAGGGCATTGTGTTGTGTCCATCTACACCTAAAAAATAAATATTAAAAAAATACTAAAACAAATAGACTATACTCAGTCACTACTCACTATTACCCATGATGGATAAGTATTACTTCCAATTACCATCCTTGAAGTAAAAAGGGGTGTTGCTTGTTTTGTTCTTGTTGTTCTAGAAATTGAATGCAGAGCCTTGGGCTTTTATGCTCTCCCACTGAGTTCACCTCCAGCCCCAAGACATGTAAGTTCAATCCTACCCCCCAATTATCATACGATTTCTGCTCTATAAAAGAAACTAATCCCAGTTACTGGCATATGGGTAAGAACTTGGGAGTTAGGAGGTGGTAGGAAGCAGAGAAAAATGTACCAGCCAGGCACAATGGTGCATGCCTATAATTCCAGCAGCTTGGGAGGGTGAAGCAAGAGGATCACAAGTTCAGAGCCAGCCTCAGCAACTTAGCATGGCCCTACGCAGCTTAGCAAGACCCTGTCTCAAAATTAAAAATAAAAAGGACTGGGGAATGTGGTTCAGTGATAGAGCACTCCTGGGTTCAATCTCAGGTACCAAAAAAAAAAAAAAAAAAAGTACCAGACCTCTTAGCAACCTTAGATTGAGTGGGAGAGGGTAATCTAGGTATATGTAGCTGAAAATGGTATCCTTAAGAAGTTGGTAAAAAAGGGCATCCTGTCACCAAAACAAAATAGTGTTATAGCCTTGGCCTTTTTTACTGGAGTAAAAGAGATCAGATCTCAAGGGGAAAATCTACTCTAGAAGGCAAGATCAAAATGATTTGTTTCTAAGCATGTGACTGCCATCCAAAAGTTATTGTCATTAATGCAGAGAAACTTCAGAAAAGTTAGCCCAAACCCAATGGAGAGCCTAGGAACAATCTTCAAGACACTTCTGAGAATAACCTGAGCCTTGCATCTGAGGCCCCTGCTTGTTGGAAACAAGACTTCAAAGAAACTGAACAGCGCCTCATTTTTTACTCTTTGACCCACCCCCTGCAAAATTCCTCTCCACTTTTGAACCATGTATCAAATTTATTGATGGAGCATGCCTGTAATCCCAGGTGACTTGGAGGAAAYAGGAGGATCAGGTTTGAGGCCAACCTTGGCAATTTAGCAAGACCCTGTCTCAAAATAAAATTTAGCTCAGTGGTAGAGCACCCCTGGGTTCAATCTCCAGTACAAAAAAAAAAAAATTCTCACATCTACTTTGTGCCTAGGCACTGTATTATGTCCTGGAAAGAATCATAAGAGATCTGAAAGATAGTGGGAAACATCAAAAAAGGATGAGAATGCTCTAAATGCYACACTCAGTCAAGGAAGCTCATGGCAGAACTGTGTTTATAATTCAAGTCCCTCTGCTAATGAAACACAAGGGAAGGTGACTAGAACACAAAAAACAAAGTAAGTCTGTTTCCTGTCATCTGAGGGCAGCCAGGCCAGGGGGAGACAGGGGCAGACAGGGCCAGGGCCATCTTACTGGGCAATTTATCCTGTTGCAATCCATTATTTGTCTGTCTTATCCTGAAATGGCCAAGCACAGCCTCAATTTTGCGCAGAACATTCCTGACCTAAAATTTACTCTCAGGGCATCAGTAATAAGGACGCTTTGGGCTCAAAATCCACCAAGTCTTCATAGTATTAGATAAAAAACATCCCTCCTCAGCAGGCTTTTTTTTGTTTTTGTTACAGTCTGGTTTCCTCTTTCTCTCTCACTTTAAAGCTGTCTTTAAAATGCCTGGCAAAGCTGGATACATACCAATAATTCCAGTGGTTTGGAAGGCTGAGGCAGGAGGATCACAAGTTCAAAGCCAATTTCAGCAACTTAGTGAGAATCTAAGCAACTTAGTGAGATCCTGTCTCAAGAGTTAAAAAGATAAACAAAATTGGGCTGGGGATGTGGCTCACTGATCGAGTGCCCAAGTTCAATTCCCAGTACCAAAGAGAGAGAGAGAGAGAGAGAGAGAGAGAGAGAGAGAGAGAGAGAGAGAGTTAAATAAATAAAAAGGGGATGTAGCTCAGTGGTAAAGCTCCTCTAGGTTCAATCCCCAATACTCCAAACATTTAAAAATGTCCAGCAAAACCAAAACAAAATAAACAGGTACTCAAACAACATTATGATATAAACTTAGCAAGAAAGTGTGGTATGGACCTCCTCACCTTCTGTGGGAATGGTAAGGAATTTTCACATATTTACAAGATTTCTTTCTTTTTTTTCCCTTTAGTGCTTGGGATCAAACTCAGGACCTCCCACCTGCTAGGCAAGTACTCTACCACTTATCTACATTTTCCACCAAGTGACTGAT